TTGGTCATAAATTCTTTGGCCACAAAGAAGTTTAGTCATCAAAATGCCACAGTGTTTTAAGAAAAATGTGTTGAAATGTCTATGGGAGAAGTTCCTGCTTTTCTTTATAGGGTGAGCCCTTCCAGGACTGGTTATCGGAACAAACTGTCAGTGAATAAGGAGAAGAGAAGTCTCTAGAGTCTCTAGCATGGGAAAAGCCAAGGCCAGTCTCCTCTGTGAAGTGCTCTGCAGATGCAACCTCATGTACACAGCAAGGGAAGGGTCAACGCACGCACCTATGTGCAAGGCAATGTTGATACGTGCAAGCGGGAGGGACAGAACAGTGCAGGTATGGGTGAGGGAGAGCACTTCCTGCCTTTCTGCTGTGATGCACACACACAAAGCGATCCTTTGTTTGCAGTAATCATATATTTAATCCCCTGGGGGACTTGCTGCTATCAATAGAATTGGATGGTGGGAAATTGCTTTGCCGTCGCTCGATGGGTTGTACATACGTCAGCCTGGCCAAGGGATTCTGGCCAGAACAACCCGAAGGTGCTGCTGACAGCTCTATTTGGGTCAATAAAATGGGATGAACAAGAGGAACTGGAGAGGTGTTTGGAGCAGGCACCCCTGGCCATTATAAATAAAGCCTTGCCCCCACTGAACAAAGACCTGGGAAGCAGTGGAATGAGACTGAGCTCTCCCACCTCCAATTACAAGGGAAATGCCCCCCATCCTGACCTGGAGAAGAGTCTGGGGTGAGACTCTTTTGGTTCATACAGGAAATTATGTTATGTAAACCATGTAGAACTTCAGGCAGTAAATAACTTTTAAAACCTGTGTCTACTTGGCTGGGGCAGGTAATTCACCAAATGAAATAAATTAAAAGTAAATTTCCTGGCGTTGTCCTATTTCGTCACCGCATTATCAACATTTTCTCAAAGCATTGCTTAAGCACCCTGCACTCACAGGCTCTGACAAAAGCTAGACAAGCCTGAAACTGGAGACATGCACTGTCGTGCTTTGGCTCCTGGGTGAGGAGGTTCGTGGGGCACAATGACCGAGGGCTGTCAATGGGTTGCAGTTCCACTTATCTAGTATCTTACTCCACTGCTGGCAGCAGGTTTAAAGCTGAGTCCTAGGAGAGCAGCCAGCCCAGTTCTGGCAGCAGGACAGATGCCCATGGGGCAGGGCTGTATGATGAGGGAGAGAGGACTCTATTGCTGTTCCCGTAACAGGAGTGACATCTGCATTGCACCAGTGCCAATGGGAGCCACCATCCTACAGCCCATCTAGGGAACTCGTGCCTCATCCAAAAGTATAACACAGAAAACTAGGACAATATGAGTACATTTTCCCCAAAGTTATTGGCCTCAGCACTGGGCCAGTTCCCATTGCCAGGCTGCATTCTGCATTGTGGAGAGGTTAACACACTGATTTCTGATGTTAGTCAGCATGCCTGCACATTGCTTGTAATGTCCCAGCACAAATCCCTCTGGTCCCAGAGATTGTGGTGGAGAAATATCAACCTCCAGCTCTCAGGGCATCCTTACTTCAAAGCTAGAGAACTTTGTGGAGAGATGCTTGCATAGGATGAGCTTGTTATGGCCCTTCTCAGGGTGTGGGAAAGTGACAGGTTGCTTTTTGTTTGGGAGAGTGGGTTTATTTCTCCATGTGAAAAGAACCTCGTTTCATCTACTGTTAAATACAAGCTTGAGAGAGGCAGAAGACTGCCTTTTGTTACTCCTCTGTTTCCAGAGATCATTACCCACACCATGGTACAACAACAGCCTCATACTTGACAAAGCATGTGTTAGGAAAGTCTACTGGCTACTGGCAAATAAGGAATGAAAATGAGTCTATCTCCTATCCAGTACAACCATTCTAAACTGCTATGAGGAGACATTCCCTGCCCTGGCCATAAACCATGCTGGGATGGAAACTGCTCCACAGAATTATTTCAAAAAAGAAGAAAAAATGAGGAGACCGCATTTCACAGTGTGATCTTGGCAAGTCATCACCAAAAGCAGGACGAGCTGAGTTGCCCACAGTTGGCTTTGCACAGACACTTAAAGCATTTCTCCCTGGGAATCCTTTCCCTTTCCATGTAGATTTTTATGTCCTGGCTTGACAAACCGGAACAGACAGCTCCAAAAATGTGTGTCCTCCTGTGCAGAGACAGTTGTGGGTCAGGCATGCAAAACAGACCAGGATGATGTCCCAGGAGCAGCCAAGAGGGCAGAGCTTATTCTAGGTTTAAAAGCAAAAAGGAAGAAAATAAATTCACCTCCCACCAAGCACAGTTAGAAATATTTCTTTTCCCTTGTCCACACCAAGATGTTCAGTAATTAAGTCTTTTTTATTGTGCTGTGGAGGGAAGCGAAGGGCAGCATGCACACATCTCCCCAGTCCCTCAGGCCTCATGTCTTAATCTTCACTTTCTGAAAGCTTATATTATCTTCTCATTTGATTAACATTAATCCCTCCTCATCCTGTTCAAACCCTTTTAGCTAATTAATACGAGGTAAACTATTCGTAAGTGCATGTAGCCTAATAAACCAAAGAACAACAGGCTGATCTGATGCTCCACATCCTTATCTCTAAGTTGCAGCAGTAAGGATTTGAAGATTGGACTATTTTGTGGATAAAGAATTGGTTAGATGGTCATAGCCAGAGGGTTGTTGTCAACAGCTCTGTGAACAAGTAGTCTGGTCATGTTCCCCAGCGTTCTGTCTTGGCTCTGGTGCTCTTCAACATCTTAATCGAGAACATAGACAGTGGAATTGAGTGTACCCTCAGCAAGTTTGCTGATGACACAGGCTAAGTGGTGTAGTTGACACAATAGAAGGGAAGGACACCATCCAAAGGGATCTGAACACACTTGGAAAGTGGGCACATGAGAATCTGATGAGGTTTAACAAGGTCAAAAACAAGGTGTTGCACTGGGGTCAAGATAATCCCAGACATGAGTACAGACTGGCAGAAGAACTTACTGTGAGCAGCCCTGCTGAAAAGGACTTGGGGATCTTGATGGACAAGAAGCTGGACATGAGCCAGCAGTAGGTGCTTGTAGTCCAGGCCAACTATATCCTGGGCTGCAACAAAAGAGGAGTAGCCAGCAGGGTGAGGGAAGGGATTGTCCCCCCTATTCTGCTCTCGTGAGGGCCCAACTGGAATACTATGTCCAAGCCAGGAGTCTCCAGAACCTCAGAAAGGATGTGGAGCTGCTAGAGTGTGTTCAGAGGAGAGCCATGAAGATGCTCAGAGAGCTGGAGCACCTCTCCTGCAAAGAAAGCCTGAGGGAATTGGGCTTGTTTAGCTTGGAGAAAAGAAGGCTCTGAGTAGACCTCATTGTGGCCTTCCAGTATTTCAAGGGAGATTACAAGCAGGAGGGGGACCTGATGGTGATAGGACAAGAGGAATGGCTTTAAACTAAAAGAAGGGATAAAAGAAGGACATATCATGTGCTGCATGATATGTTTTAGTAGCTTGTGTTAGCAATGGTGATGAGGAGATGGTTGGACTAGATGATCTCATAGGTCATTTCCAACCTTGTGATTCTATGATTCTATGATTTAGGCTAAATTTTAGGAAGATTTTTACTCATAGTGGTCATAGGGCACAGGCTGCCCACAGAGGTTGTGGATGCTCCATTCCTGGAGGCAGTCAAGGCCTGGTTGGATGGGGCACTGAGCACCTGATCCAACTGATTTAGTAGTTGGCCACCCTGCCCACAGCAGAGGGTTGGAACAAGATGATCTTTCAAGTTCCCTTCACCAAAGTCATTGTATGTTCAATGTTTTTACAGTCCTCTGACTTCTCCTGGCCCTTAGCAAAGTGCATTACATTCATAGGATCAAGACAAAATCAACAACTTTGCTAATGAGTGAGATGCAGATCCAAGTTCTTGGTAGTTAATGAAACTAATCACTGCACTAGGTCTATGGTGGGCACAGCTTCTCTTGAGGGGTGCAGGGAGCAACAGCTGCACCTTCATCTCATCAGGAGCTACAGATCACTGTCCTTTGCCTGGGGGCTACAAAGGTTACCAAGGGCAGGGAGAGGCCTTAGATCCAAGCTTCTCCAGAATTATAGAATATGCTGAGTTGGAAGGGAACCACAAGGATCATTGAATCCAGCTCCTGGAACTCCAGCAGCTCAGTGCTGCGCCCACTGCCTTTGGGAGCCTGTTCCATGCCCACTGCCCTCTGGTGAAGAACCTTTCCTTAACACACGAGTGCTTTATGTCCTTTTTGTACTGTGGCACTCCAAACTGTACCCAGTGTGGGAGGTGAGGCTGCACAGCACAGAGCAGAGCGGGACAACTCCTTCCCTTGCCTGGTGGCATTGTGGTGAGAAAGAAGCCTGTAAGAAAGTTGAAGAGATCCTGAAAATGAGAAAGTATGCATTTTACTTCATGCTAGACAAAGGTAAGAATGTGAGAGTTTCTCTCAGAAGCTCTAGAGAGCCAGGACATAAGGAGTTCCCATCTGGCTCCTGCTGGCTGCAGTCCTAGGCCTTGTGAGAGGCACCATGGCTTCTCCTTCTTTTCCCAGGTGCTGGAGGCTGCAGTCCTGCCAAACCAGGAACCACCTTTGGTTGCATGAGGATCTAAGGAAAGAGGTTCAAGAACAACACAACAACAACACAAGAACAACACAACAACAAAGAATTTCTCTTTGAGGAAAAACACTTGCCAGATGGACTTGGGAAGGGGCTTGCTTGGAGACTACAAGAGTGGACGCAACCTTTTGGCTCTTGGGGCTAGATGACAGTGCCCAGCAAATAACTCTTAAAAACTCAATTACCCTTTATTTCACCTTTTTTGTTTGTTTTCTCCAGTAAAAATTTTCACCTGCCATGTCCTTTTTTTTTTTTTTTTTTTTTTTCTCCATCTACCGTTGTTGAAGAAAAGAAAGGCTGGAAAGGGGGAGGGAGGGAGGGAGGGAGGAGAACAGGAGAAAAAAAAAAAAAGAGGAGAAAGAAAGAAACAAAAAAAGACAAAAGGAAGAAGAAAATTTAAGACATTTTGTCTTCTTTTATTAAAAAAAAAAAATGTTTTTCCTGGTTTTCCTTGCTGGAGAGGGTTGGCAGGGGGAATGAACTTTTAATGAAAAGTAAAACAACTTCCCCCCCAGAAAGGTAAAAAAACCTGGCAATTGGTGCTTTATAGATGTCTTTCTTCACTTCTGTACAGTACTCTTCCTCTGACTGGGAGGAGCAGCCGAGAATGACCATTTGGTAACTTCCCTTGGATTTCAGCTTCAAATACATTATGTTTTGACGTCTTATCAACAACTACATGAAAACAAAATCCTTCTTTCCATACTACCCCTTGTGATGGTACATATGGACTGTGGTGGCTTTTCTTCAGACAGACACCCAACTCTGACCACAGTGTGGGCATCTTCTAGAGGCTGATAAAGACTTCTCAGATGCTTATTGTGTGTGCAGCAATGCCTGAGATGTTTGTGTGATCACAAATCATTCATTAGTTGATCTCTAAGTCTGCATGCAGGGGGGATTATAGCAGCAAATAATCATTGGTGGTATTTTCCCTTTCTACCCCAGCTGGGTGTGCTTGGGTCACAAGATGACAAGGATTTTTCCTTTAAGCTTCCTGCAATTCTCTCAGTCCCATCCAGAGTGTCTGGATGAGCTTCCTGATCCTGGAAATTCTGTAATTTCTTTCAGTGATGACAGCAATTCCTCCTCCGACTGTTAAAATATGCTGCTTTCTGACAGGTCTGGGACACTGCTATCAGATTATACATAAGCAACAGATAAACCAGTTCATATCGTGTTTATTTGCAGTAACACAGCTCCACACCTGTGTTCAAAAGTGCAAGGTGATTTGTTTCTATCTAGGATTACTGCAGTGCCTTCAGACTACCTCAGGAAAAGGAGTGGCCACACCTCCACCACTTCCCTGGCAGCAAGATGCTGTCTTACACCTTAGAGACACAGCAAAAGGAGCCAAGGGGTTGAACATCCTACCAAGGTTCACACAAGAAACCCTTGTTAACTGAATCTGGATGCCATGACACAGTCCTGCTACTGAACTTGTGTTGACTGGGAAAGGAAATTCCCTCCTCAAAACCAATGCCACCATTCTGATGGTGGCTGCCACCAAAACAGTCTGCCTGTGTACAGCTCTCCTTTGGGGCTGATGGAAAGCAAGCACTCATGGACACCTGGGGCTGGTGGCTTTACCAGACGAGCAGGCTGTGCCACCACTGCATTGTCACATGCCTTGGCCTTGCAGTGCTGCCCACCAGGAGCTGTTGTCCTAGCATAGATAAGGACCTGCTGTAGAGGATGGCTCACCGCAACAAACTGTGAGCAGTACTGCTAGTCAGGAAGGGAAAAATACCAAAATGTTTACTGTGTGGCAGGCTGCAAGAGTCTGGATTTTAAGCTCTTCTCAAGACCATTGCAGCAACACAACGTTTAGCTCCTTAATAAATAAAATAAAATAAATGATGCCTTCTGTGGTGCTGCACTCCTTCATAGTGAAGAATAACAAGGCTTGCCAGCTGTCTCTACCTTCTACAGCAAATCATCTCCAATTAAATGAAAATATCCCAGAGAGGTACAAATTCTGATGTTTGACTTTCAGCCTTCATTTCACCAACAATTTTTAGATGTTAGAGGAAAGGCAATTAAATGGGGAAAAAATTCCCCTATGCTAATTCACCAGTTAAACTCACATAAGACTGCAAAAGATAAGGTTCCCATAGCAATTGGAAAAGGTACTGCACTGCACAGATGAGACCTGATTTCCCCACTTTCTTTCAGCTCTGGCAGTTTATCTCCACATAGCACGGGGATGAGCAATTACTTGGAAGGAGGAACAAGGGAAAGGAGCCTGTGGCACCTGTGATTCTCTTTAATGGTAAGTCTCCTGCGTGCTGCGATATGGCACTATTGCAAGGCAGACCCAAAGCCAGTGTGCGTTCCCTGGACCGTGGTAAATGGTCTGAGGAGATATTGCTGCTGGCTTTTGTGAAATCTCAATAGGCATTCAGGTAGGCTTTGTCACTGAGTGCTCGGGTCACACGTGACATAACAGCCTCTGCAAGACAGAGCTGTGTGGCTCCAAACGTCACATCCCCATGACATCCCTCCCAGCCATTGCACTGCAGTCACGACCACCCTGGCACAGGGAATATTTAATTTGACACAGTCTGCTGCCAATGAAGTCATCTTAGCTATTAATTATCCCTTTATCACTTCTGAGCTTATGATTATTGTGCCTGATTGTGCCTGTCATGTCCCATGAGCAGTTACTGGCGGCAGAGCAGAGGCAGCACAATCCTTCTCCCACTCTTGCCCCAGAGCTACTCTGCAGCACAGAAACAGACCCATCAACTCCTTCATTTATTCCTCCATAAAATGCCCCAGCAGTGCAGTTCAATTTGTGGGTGTGCAGTCTCCAGGGTTCCATTTCTCTTTGCTGTGCTGCAGCTCATTTTAACCAACCTGCTCTGGGTCTTCGCCTTCACTCCATGACTTCTCTGAGAGAATCACCAAAGATTGAGCTGTTTCACTCTCGGATACAAGTTCACTGGACAGCGTGTGTCTGACTGGGAGCACACCTCTGGGACAGCCCTCACCCCCTTTCTACCAGAGCCTGCTGTGAGATCCAGCATCAATAACTGTGTTTGCACCCAGTGCTCTGTCAACTCTTCCTGTTCTGAAGCCATCACCACTAACACTGCAGCCAGTGATACCTTATTCGCACCCTCTCCCTTGGATAGAGGTGATGTAGCAGTACATTTCCCTTTGTCATCCTCATGCTTCTTATTTACTTCTGAACCAACTTGCTTATTTCCTGTGCTAACACCCCAAATTTGTGTTTTTGCATCCATAACTTTTCTACTGCACACCTTTATTCTCTGCTCTCTCTCACTTCTGTGGTTTCCTTTCCTCCTCCCAACACAACTGATGGGTTTTTTTTATGTGAGTGTGTGTGGGATGGGGAGGGGTAGGGGGGGAGTTTCAGCTCTTTTTTTGTTATTGCACTTCATTTTTTGCATCTTTCCCTCTCCATCAGTGTCAGTTCTGAGGACCCCTCTGACAGCCGGCAGGAGTCAGGGGTGTCTCATGTGAAGGAGAGAAGGGAAGAGTCCAGGAAAAGAAACCACTTCAGGAAGGAGAGAGCAAATAAACTCAGAGTACGAAAATGATATCTTCAGTGCCTTAGAAATGAGTTTCCCTCTCTGTGATGCTGAGCATCTCCTGGACAGGAAGGGACTGCTCCTTGAGCTTCTGTTCAGACAGAGCCACTATGTGCTTCCTGGGCTGTGGCAGATCCTCTGCTGGGGAAATCAGCTGTGCGAGCCGCTGTGGAGAGGAAGTCTTTGTTAATTAAGCTGATAAACAAACCGGCACCCAATAGTGATCTACAACCATTGCTGGGGGCAAAGGCATCTGTAGAGCTGATGCTTACAGCTTCATGCTCCCCTCTTGCTGGATGGCTGTGGAAGGGGGTGAAGCAGGGCAGGCTCACTTCAGCTGCTCACAGTTACTGCATTCCTAGGCTCAGATTTGTGCTGTGGACTGACAACCTGACATACACGGCTCCCCACAGATATATTTCTGGGTGGAAAGATGCCAGAGATTCACCCCATAGGCACTTTGTGTGGCCACAGAAAAAACAGGGTAAAGTCCAATTACTCTTTTCCTTATGCCAAGTAGCCATGCTTCCTGAAAAGTCTGATGGGGGCTGTGCAGCCTTCTGTATGTCGTGACTGTCAGGCACTGGGCACCTTCTGTCCTGGTAGGAGGCAGATGACACCTCCCTCAGCGACATTCTCAGTCCCTCACCAGAGTGACACAGGATCAGGGGGTTCCTGCCACATCTGCCCTCTCCTGTGCCATCCCAGTTCAGTCACAGCTGTTGTTCTTTCATGGGCTGTTCGGGCCACTGCACGCTCCTCTCTTACACAGCATACCACAGCAGAACAGACAACTCATCCGTGACTCGTTTGATTAATTTTAGTGCTTCTGCTCACTGTGAAATTCCTGCCAGGATGCAGGATTTCACTCATTTATTCAAAAGCATTTGCCCCGTGATTTGTGAAACCAGCCTTGGCCTGAAGCTTCTCTGTGAGCAACTCACTGCAGGTTTTCAATGCTTGGGACTTGAGCTGTCTTAATCAGACACATTAAGCAACAACATTTGTGTTTCTTGATCAGTCAAGTGGAGCAAGAGGAATCAGTTTGTTGCAGCAACTGATCATAATTGCCAATTAAAAGCTCACTTTCAGTGAATGGCTTGCAATATTCAGTTAAAAGGCACTGTACCTGGAAGCAGCTGTGTCATGAAAATAATTCATTACATTTATGGGGCGTGACTGGAAAAATGGAACAGGTATATTTTGAAAAAACTTGTTTACAAAACAGAAGCAAATATTCCAGGAGATTTCATGAAGTTGGCTTTGATTCTCCCCTGAATCAGTCCAGGCTTGGCAGCTGGCTCCTTCCTGCATGCCACAAGCATCCATTTGGAGATTTCTTCATAATAATATAACTGAGAGGTTCTTGAAAATTACAGATAATATAACCTAAACCAGGGCAAACAGAAAATGCTACAGTCTGAAACTGGCTGAAGCAATTTCTTGGATGTGCTGTAAAATAAGCATTAGCACCACTTACAGCAGCATTCTAGTCCGAGGACTCAATGAATTTGGCAACAAGTGAGGCATCTTGCCTGTTCAGCAAGCAGGACATTTAGGCAATCACTTCACAGAAAGCCCTGAGTCCTCATAAAGGCATATGAAGCCTCTGAGCTGTCAGGAGTCAGATGCAGTGTCAGCCATCAAGACCATCTTCAAACTGGCTGTGGGATAGGAAAGGTGCTGGGCTGCCAAGTGGTTTGAAGCACAAGATAGGGCTAGGAGAGTTAGGATTCCAGATCTGAACTTGGAGCAAACCATATCATGACAACTTGCCACAATATTGACTTATATTGTCTTGCATTGGGAGGGATACATTTCCAAATTGAAATGGCTAGGGAAGTTAAAAGGTTGAAAGGTTGAGGTGCCTTTCCTTAAATCTGTGTTCAGTGGCGAAGAGAAATTACAATTTATCTTCCACTAAGCCATTTTATCAAGAGATATACCAGGCAGCTCCCTCCCGACCTCGTCACCTCTTCATGGCCACCAATAGCAATCAAATCTTAGTTTTGTACCTGATTTGCACTGGCACGAGTCAGTAAAGGAAGACAAGTAAAAGATGGTGTTATGCCATCTTTACTAACATCATCAGCATGTTAAAACCAGCCAGCATGTGGCCTCAGATAGCACACACTGGGAGGCCCTCTGTCATCCAGGGAAAACCCTGGAGAACTGATGATCAAACTGAAAGCTGTGCTCCCTCCAAGCCCTACATGTTGTCAATAACAGTTGTCAGGCATTCTGGGGAAAAGGCACTCACACTTCTTGCCTTCTCAGAGGAAAAATGCGCAATGTGTATCCTCCCTGGGGCCCTGCCCATGAGCTGTCATAGGGAAGCAGCAGCAATTCACCCAGTGACCACGATCTCAGTACCTGTTTCAGGGATCCCTTGGTCCTCAGGAGGATGAAGATGATGTAGAGAGGAATGCAGACCATGGAGGAGAGTGCCATCAGCCAGCCCAGCACGTAGCCCCAGGGTGGGTACACGTAAGAATTGTTGTACTTCAAGGGTGTGTACTTAATTAGGGAGAACAAGAAGACAGCCTGGGGAACACAGAACACAAACATAGCCAGGGCATAGGGAGTAGAGGAAGTCAGGCAGTCCAGCCCTGCACGTGCCAGCTAGGTGGCAATGAGTGTGCTGTTGTGCATGAGCTAGCATGGCCATTGCTCACTGCAACAAGCCAGAGCCTGATGTATGCTGACTGCATGCACAGTTTTCTCAGCCAAGTCCAGGCTTCTCTGCAGGCTCCATGGGGGTTCAACCTAAGCAAAATTGGCAGCAGATTTGAGGGTCTGGGAACACAGAGACTGAAATTTAGTCATGTTGAGGTTAGAAACTGTTGCAGTCCTTTTCAGAAGCATTTCAGAAGTACCAGGCACAGATTCATCCGTCTTGGGAGTCTCTAGCCACAGAACACTCAAATAATTTGGGCTGAATCAGATTTAGTTTGAAAATTCCCCCAGTATTTAATTCCTAGTGGACTCCAAGGACAGAGGAACAGAGTTCTTGTGTAAACTGTAGCTATATCCTGTCTGTGTTCCCACTGATGACAAAGGAAACAATCTACAAGATCAGACGTGGAATCAGAATTTGGCACAGAAAACTTGTAAATGTCAGTGAAGTAAAACTGGACATGAACTTGAAAGAGGTGGGAACTTATCTTTGAAGATTTTTTGTTGTTTTATTTGTTTGTTTTTTTTAATACAGTTGTCTGAAAAGTTTTCAAAGAGATTTAATAACACAGAAAGCAAATGGCCATAGAAAGATATTTCTGAACAGAAAATGGGAGGCTGCAGGAACATGGACTGAAGGAAGTTTTTCACAACAGTGTAACACTCACCAGTCTTCTATTAAAAAATAATTTGACCAAAACTCTTCAGACTTTTAGGATATATTTTCCTTTGCCTTGTCAGTAAACAAGGCCTGTAAACAATGGCTTTTCAGGCTGAATTAATTTTCCAGGCAAAAGATGAGGCTTTACAGTGGAAAAAAGTTGACACCTCAGCTATGGATAAACTTGTACTTCTCCACAAGGAGCTTGATAAAATGACAGCAGCACTTTGAAGACAAACCAGCCTTTCCTACGAAGGATGTGGGGACCCAGAACAATCTGTTATGTTGTCATAACTGCACGCACTTACCAAGCACAGACCCGGGGTGAACACCAGCCAGCATATCTTGATCAAAGGCCATGGCCGATAACCAATCATGTCTTCAATGTTGTCGTAGAAGCGGTTGGCACCTTGGCCACCAGCCAGCACAGAGACAAAGTCAGAAGTGAGGACGTAAGATCATTGCTGTTTCCTTCAATCACAACTCGTATCAGATCCCATATTTCTTTATCCTCAGTGTTTCCTTCTGGCAAAAAACATGGCTACCCTAATAAGAGCATGTGACAGACTTTCCTGGTATCCAGAATGCTCACCTGTGGCTAAATACAGATGGAGGCTTTTAATTTCAGCCATAACTTTCCAAAAAGCTTGACATAAAATAACCTGTCCCTCAGAGAGCAGCATCTGTAAGTCAGAGAACGCAGACCCTAGCTTGAGGGGTATTTGATTTACAGGTCAACAAGGGAAGGCTCTTGCAGATGGAGCACATGGGAATGTGCGAGCCCACAGTGATGCAAGAAACAAAGACAGCAGGGAACACCAAATAAAACCCTCTCTTTGTTACCAGCTCAACGCACCGAAGAGTTTATGTCAAGAATCCACACTGAACTGGGTGTTTCACCTGTCATGAAGAGCCTGCTTTCCACAGAATATTTATTTTTTTGGCATAAAACCAAAAGACCTGGAAATCCAAACTCTGCTAGAAAACAAGTCTTCCATCTGCAAGTATTGCTGTTCTGTTCAATATAAGTTAACCTGTGGATGCCTGATCTCTTCCTTCTCTCACTGTTCCCCTAAGTTGAATGACTGGCCCATTAAATTAAAGTCTAACTTCTGTACACACATCACAACACCATGGAAAGATCTGACCCTGTCTTCAAGAAATATTCAGAGGGTTCAAGTTAATGTCAGGGTTTAAAAATAAGTCAGCTTCTCTTACACAGCCCATATTAGCCTGCACCCACCTGAACCCCATGATTCAACAGAGTGGGATATACCTCTAAAGAGCATCTAAAAATCATTCCACGGATCAGACCCTATCCACTGACTCTTCTCAAACCAAAGCATAAACTTGAAATACATGCAGTGATATATAGAGAAGACAGCATAATGCAAGTGGAAATCAGCAGAACTTCTAGCTCTAGGATGTCTTCAAGGAATAAGATCCTCATAGATCATAGATCCTCATAAGAATGCACCCGTAAGAATGCACAAAGATCTTCCTAACTGCTAGAGATACTAAATCAGACTTTCTCAGGTAAAATAGGGCAATATTAAACAAAAAGCTGGAGATAACTTGCCCATAGAAATGGTTACTGTATTTGCCTTATTGAAGTTTTATCATAATGCTTAGCTGATAAAGAATTGCTTCTTCTTTTAGGGTTGTTCATCCAATTGTGAACTCATTGACAGAATTCCTATCTTCAAATGAGCTGAGACCTTGTCTCCTCACATTTTCATACCAGAAGGGTGGGCAAAAATTTATCCTAGAGGACTTGCCACACTACCATGTGCTTAGTATTTAATGTGCTTTGTTGTGTTATGTTTTTCTGTCTTAGAACCAAGTCCCAAGATCTTTTTCCTTTGTGTGAATTCTACAAAAGCACATTAAGCGTGTTTTTCTTTTCTGTAATTCTTTGTGTTATTTTCTGTATCCCATGACTAATATTTGCAGGAAAGCTCCCTTAAAACCAGCTTTTGAAGCATTTAGGAAAGAGGGATGGGGAGGAGCACGTTCTTTGAATACCTCATGGTTCCCATCTTGAGTTGGCAAGTTAACAAGTAGCTTCCAGCAAAAACAAGCTGCGCATATCAAGGGACATGCAGCCTTGTGTAGGAGCCCAGCCTTCATCAGAAAACAGAACCCTAAAACTTCCAAGCTACAAATCCCATGAGGCTTCAGATAACGTTTCTGAAAATATGTTGGGGATGAAGGGGAGATAATATAAAAATATGTTCTGCCACAAAGCCAAAATCTTCCATGAGGTAGGAAAAAAAGGAGAGTGAGATAAATGATATGGCTGCGGCATAGCGCAGTCTCTTACACCGTACAGTGTTTCCACAGAAACACACCATGATGTCAGATATACGATGGATAAATTAATTCACACTGACGGCTGAAGTCAATTTCACTGCAAATTTTGGATCTAAGATCTAGTGAGGGACGTAGTGAGTAAAGAAACACAAAGATGCCAGACCAAAAGAAAGACACAGCGCACGTCTATTCTCCAGGAAGGAAACAACACAAACCTTACAGTTAGTTACAGCGTGGGTCCACCTGTTCCCATCCCTGTTCTCTGTAGTATTCCCATCAGGTCCTGTGTTTCCAGGACCACTGTGGCAAACAGTAGGGTGTTGTGGTGAAACACGATGGACACTGACACGAACAGCCTCAGAAAGTACATTAATGGGAGCTTTTACGTGTTCTGCTTTCCACAGGATATGGAAAAGTAATCAAGCTAAAGAAATCATCAGTTCAATCACTCAGCGTTGGCTTTTTGTGCAACTTAGAAGCTAGAGGATTTGTGCAGTCCCCATTCCTTCTCAGAATATTAGAAGTAGCTTACAACAACTGCAAGTAATGAAAGGGACAAAGATTTTTCTTTTCTTCCCCACCCAGAAACAGTGTGTTTCACAGATGAAGTACATAGTCCAGGAAATATTTCTCAACATGTCCTGGTTTCAGCTGAGATAGAGTTAATTTTCTTCCTAGTGGTAGGTATAGTGCTGTGTTTTGGATTCTGGATGAGAATAATGGTAATGTGCTGATGTTCTGATTGTCACTGTGAAGTGCTGCACAGAGCCCAGGACATGTGTTCTTGTAGTGCTGCCCTGCCAGTGAGGGGGGAGAAGCAGATGGAAGGGTGCAGTACCAGGACAGCTGATGCAGACTAGCCACCGCTGCACCATGTGGTGTCATGTTGAACAACAAAATGGAGAAGAGTTGGCTGGGAGGACAGCTGCTGCTCAGGGAATGGGTTGCGCATCACTCAGCTGGTGGTGAGAACTGAACTGTGCATCACTTTTTTTTGTATATTATTATTAATTTTCTCTTATTTTTCTGTCTGATTAAACTGTCTTTATCTCAACCTACAAGTTCTATCTTTTTCCATTTCTGTCCCATATCCCCCGATTGAAGGGGAGGGTGATCAAACAGCTGAATGGTGCTGGGTTGTCTGCCGATTTAAATCACAATACAGTACATCCTGTTTGAACTGTTAGTGTAGAGCCTATGACAAAACTCTCTCTTTTAAATCTTTTCTCCCAAGCTGCATTTATTTGCATTCATCTGTACTGAATTTCATCCACAGGAAGTCAGTACATGATGACCTTGGTGCCACGCTCTGAGCTTGTGTCTGCTCTCTTGCTGTCCCAAACCTGCAGTGCCCACGCCTGTGCCAAAACCATGAAAATGCTGGCAGGACATTTGCTGGGACACTGTAGGATCTGTGTGCCATTTGGGTAGCAGCTGCTTTTAAAGAGCCTTTGCAATCCATAAATAACAATGTGAGGTTGCCTGTAGCAGGGGCATCCAAGAGGATAAAGCAAACTCAGCTAGGGCAGCCTGATGGGCAGGATCCAGCCAGGAGGAACCCGCTGCTGCTGCTGGTAGACACACTGCATGTGAGCAAGAGAGGAAGATTTATACCAGCTCAACACAGATTCACCCTGCAGCCACCCACAGGTGCCTGCTGGCATCAGTTTGCTTTAGCTTTGTAAACAGTTCAAAGGGCTTCAGCCCCAGCTCTTATGCAGCGATGGAGGCACATGCTTTCTCCTGCAACAGCTTATCGTAATATGCATGTTGTGACTGCCTGAAAAACGAAAACATCACTCCCATACCATGTTTCTGTGGCATCATGCTGCAACCCGAGTGCACAAGAAGAGTACCCACTTATACGAGGGCTGTGTCGCCAAAAATGGAAGGGACACAGGTGGGGGAAGAAACCAAATCACCTCTGTCCCTCCCTGCAGCAAACAGGATTGGCAGGTGGGATGCTGTGAGGTCCTTGTGCAGGCAGAGAGCAGTACGTGAGGAAAGCCTTAGATCTGAGCAAGAGCATCTGCCTGTCAGCAGAGGGAGGCTGCCAAGTGGTGGGCGGCTGGCGTATGTGCTGGGAGAGGGGAAACTCAGAGCGTGTATTTGTGTTAGCGAAAACGTTGTAATTCTTCACAGTGTAAGCAAGAGGCTTGGTCCTGCCAATTCTGAGGCTGGGAAAAAAGCAGTAGTTGGCACTAGGCACATCTTTTCCACTAAGATGGCCCGTCTCAGCCTACTGTCTGCATTTCAGCCCAGAATCAGACCCATGGAATGGCTACTTGCCACGAGGAGCAGGGCAGAAGGAGGGAAGAATGGGCAAACTGTAATGTAAATTTAATGTAGCTCAGGGTGGTGATAGCAAAGCCCTGTTATGCGTGGATGGAAATCTCCTTCTCCTCAGAAATCTCACAGGGAACTTACAGAAGTTGATTAAATTCAAATCTGGCCAAGGTCTGGCACTGCAAGCTCTCAGTTGAGTTTCCCTCCCAGGATATCTCTCTAGAATAAATCTCTCCTACAGACACACTTTTCTTGCATCCCTGGAAGGTTAAACAGAAGCAGCAGAACCTGCTCCTATTTCAGTGAGAGAGAAGTCTTTCCAGACCAGAAATTGGTTCGATTTGTTTGAGTGTTTGGAGAATATGGCATGAGAACATCTTTATCAGCAAGTGCACTACAGCCATGGCAAACTCTGTAAAATCACACATACCAAAGAAAGCAAATGTGGAGTGACTGTTCTCCTATCTCTTCTGAAGTAAGATCTGTGGGGCAGAAAAAGGAACTGGCAGGTGGCAGGTTCAAAACAAGCAAAAGATTGTGATACCTCATACCACAACAGACCGAGCTGTGGAACTACTTGCTGTAGGGTTTTTTTGGATGATAAACGCTTACATGAGCCAACTACAAAAAAATACAGAAGATAAATAGGAAAATTTTACTTTCAGCTCTGGAAATCCTTGACTTACAAGTTTTTAGAAGTTGGAAGAATATTCCCAGGAAATATCATTGCCAACTTACTATACTCCCCCTGTACTCCTCCCTAAACAACCAATGTTAGCTATCAAAAAAAAAAAAAAAAAAGATATGAATGATGCTCATGTCTGCAGTGTTTTCCTTAGTTTGATCAGGGCACAATACCTGACGCAGCAAGGAGCCAGCAGTTGCTGTTTTTAAGGATGCTGTCAGTTTGGTCTCATCTATATGACTTTATGCTATCCTTGAAGATGCTGGACTGCCATATCAAGAAGCATGTGGATGTGGCACTGAGGGACGTGGGTTAGAGAGCATGGTGATGATAGGCTGATGGTTGGACTAGATGACCGTAGAGGTATTTTCCAACCTTAATGATTCTATGATTCTATTATGCCAAGGACAGGAAGCCTCTGCTCCATAACACACAAAACTAACCCCTCCTGGAAACCACCAGCCTCAGTATGTACTTCAGTGAGGGGGACTGCAGCCTATTGGGCTCATGCACTGCTCAGCAGGGCAGAGACCTTCCTGGATACCACAGGATTTTCTGCTTACTGCACACCAACAAGTGACTGGTTTCCTTCTGGTAGTTCACTGAGCTCAGCCTAATTCTGCTCCTGCATGGTTTGGTTACAGTCCTCACTGAGTGCCAAGACAGTCCCCATTCATTTCTTTTGGGATTGCCATCACAGCCCGTGAAAAATATAAAGTATGCATCATCACAGAAGTGGCACGCAGCAAGTCTGTATTCCAGCACTTTGTGTGAAACAAACTGGCAGGATTAAACCAGAGGTACAGGGTACAGACTGAAACAGAGTCTGACGAACAGCAGTCACTCCTCCGTAGCTGGTTTTCTAACCCATAGGATGAATGGAAAGAGCAGCAAGGTAACACAAGATAAGGAAGCTTCAGAGATGATAAAGTCATTTCTACTCTAAATGTAGAGCAGTTAAAAAATGTTGTGAGGAAACACACTGGAAACCAGACAAGAAAGAGGGTAATTACAGCATTTTTTTGCTTCCTAAGGGAGTGGTGAATCTTCTCCATCCACCTCCACTTTCCCAGCCCCAGCCTTGAGAAGCAGCAGCACAGGTTTTTGTCCTCTACTTACCGTAAACCCATCCTACACAGATGACTTCAAAAATGGCCAGGAATAGCAGGCACGTGCCACTAGCAGCATAGTAATCAAAGAGCTGGAAGATGTACATCCCACCCTGTAACAGAGGTAAAGGGAGTCATAGCAGGTTTCCATGTCCACAAGAGCACTTTATTATTGGTTTGGTTTTGTTTGTTAATCACCTAGCAAGTTTCCAGCATTACTTCAAAGCACTATGACAGTGAAAATCTCTGCATCTAAGAAATGGGGATCCTGATTGCCAGGATATTCAGATGATACCTTATTTTGCCTGCATCCATGTTTACATATTTCTCAAGGTCCATACCCCATGATGGCAGGCACATCACTTCCTGCTGCCCCTATCTCTTGGGTTGAGCCCTGTCTACTTGCCATCAGCTAGCTCTAGAATTCAGTTGCCTCATATTTCCATGTGTGTTTTCCAAAGAGAAAGCCATGCCAACAGAAGTCAAGCAGATGCTTTCCAAGGGTGCTGAAGGACTCTATCCACTGACAGAATAGTGGAATCCCTTCATCCCAACACATATAAGGTGGTGTACTGCAACAATGGGTGTAGATGCCTCCACATGATGGGCATACCAAATCCATGGAATCCCTGAGTTCAGTTTCTCACATTTGAAGATCTCTTGATCACATGCGTGGCATAGCATCAACTCTGCTGCTTCTGGTCCAGAGACAACAGGCTCTCCTTTGGCTGAGGCAAGATGATGCTGCACTCATTACCCCATCCTGCCCTCCTGCCACCCTGCTTCTCATGCAAAACAACCAGCAAGTGATCACTGCCCTTACAACAGCTTCTGAATATGCAGCTCAGCTTGCTTGAGCAAGGTGATATTTGCATAAGGCAGCCTTATCGAGCTGCAGGGCTGTCTCTGTGGCTCCATAACAGGTGCAGGAGCATCACACCGTCAGCGACAGTGGCTGAGAGACAGCTGACAGCTGCTAATGCATTGAAAATAAAGGATAAACAAAAGCATCAAAGACAAGCCTGTTGCCTCTAAGTGCTCCTCCAGAGCAGTCATGCAGGATTTCTGGTGTCTGGTTGTAGCCCAGCTCCACCTCTCTTACCTCAGTGACCAGCAGTAAGCCCAGCAGGTAGCAGATCACCGCAATGGCCAGGATCAGCAGCTCCCGACGTCCCTTCTTTCGAAACACTCCCGGGAACATGTCAATGAGAGCTGTCACCATGCTTTCCACACAGACAAACTGTAGGAGAATATAGGTTACAAAGCCTAATGTCTCCCCTTCCCCAAGAACATGCTCACTGTCCTTTTCTCCTCGAGACTTGGAGACTTCTCCCAAGACAGCTAGGCCAGCGTGAAGGAGAACAATCAACAGGGTAAGGAAAGAGGGGACTTTGATTCAGGGAACAAAGAGAAGTGGAGGTTCAAAGGTTTAGGTGCTACAAAGTAGAGCCTGAACAGAATGCCCTGCTTGGCAGCCAGGCCAGGACACCCCCTCTCCCCTTGAGCCTGCATACCAGTGTTTCACACTGCTCTGCTGGGTTTTCCTCCTGGAGGGTAAGAGGTGGATGCAAGATCATTCCCCATATGGAGATGTGCTGGGACACCCTCGCATACATGTGAAGATAAAGATGCCAAACAGAGATGCCACCACATATACCCACTGGCCTCTCTTCAGCCCTGGCTGTGAGTATCTGTGGTGTGAAAGAGCTGTGGACAGTGTGGAGAATGTATTTGAGGTACCAGCAAAGCATATAACCACCTAATCCTTTCCCACAGGCATGAAGATGTGTGCAGAGTGGCAACAGGCACTTAGGAGTTGGAGAAGGAGGGTTAGCTTGCTGTACCTGGCTGTCCAGTCCCAAGAAGATCAGCATGAGGAAAAAGAGGCAGGACCAAAGCTGAGACACAGGCATCATTGTTACTGCTGTTGGGTATGCTATGAAAGCCAGACCAGGACCTGCCAACAAACAGCAGCATATCCACATCTGAAAGCACTGGTCCTGCAGACCTCACTGTAGACAGCACAGTGACAGAGGATGTAGATAACATCTACATCCTTGGCCCTGCACGTGCCAGCTAGGTGGCAATGAGTGTGCTGTTGTGCATGAGCTAGCATGGCCATTGCTCACTGCAACAAGCCAGAGCCTGATGTATGCTGACTGCATGCACCATTTTCTCAGCTAAGTCCAGGCGTCTCTGCAGGCTCCATGGGGGTTCAACCTAAGCAAAATTGGCAGCAGATTTGAGGGTCTGGGAACACAGAGACTGAAATTTAGTCATGTTGAGGTTAGAAACTGTTGCAGTCCTTTTCAGAAGCATTTCAGAAGTACCAGGTACAGACTCATCCATCCTGGGGGTCTCTAGCCACAGAACACTCAAATAATTTGGGCTGAATCAGATTTAGTTTGAAAATTCCCCCAGTATTTAATTCCTAGTGGACTCCAAGGACAGAGGAACAGAATTCTTATGTAAACTGTAGATAACATCTTGGGCTTCACCTCAGAAAAGCCCCCTTCCCCAGCCTCCTTGGGCTCAAAGTCTGCTGAAAAAACCTACCTGATTCAGCCACTTCTGCAATGGGTACACCCTGCTTTCGAGCCATGAAACCCAGCACAGAGAAAATGGCAAAGCCAGCAACAAAGCTGGTGGCACTGTTCAGGAAGCAGAGCATAATGCAGTCCCTGCAGGAGGAGATGAGAGAGCACACTGTTTCCCTTTGCACAGCAGGCCCACTTAGGGTCACTTCCGTACTCAGCTTCCCCAAGCACTGAGGAGTGTCAATACTGCTCCTCAGCTCCCTCCAAAGTAACCATCAACTGCTATGGAGAAGTGCAGGTATGCAGTGTATTTGGGCTGGAGAGCTATCTAGAGCCATGCCAACAGTGCAAGGCTCATAAGACACTAGAGGAAAGCGTCATACACTGCTCCATGAGTGACAGACACATTGTGGAGTGCTGTGGGAAAAGTATTAATTGCCTGGCCAGCAGCCACAGCAGCACCTCTTTGAGAAGGGCAGAAGAGATGACTGATGCCTCCAGAGCACAGTAAAATTTTCCCATCTGCGGTGGAGCAATACTGGAAGTAATAACAGAGCCCCATCTCCACAGGACTTTGAGGAATGTGCCAGAAACGGTCTTGATGTCTTTACTGAGCTTCATGTCAGGCCATGGAGAAAATAGAGCTGTAATTCAAGGGCAAGGAAGAGGCCAGATAGACTTGATTAATCTCCTTGATAGGATCAAAATGCCACTGGCAATACATTACCCTGCTGTTAGTGAAGAACTAGAGACAGGGGGCCCAGCCATCATCATCTTTGTACCATTTCCCCTACCTAGCAAGTGACAGCAGAGAGAGCTGTGTAGCCCCTTCTCACTCACCCCATCAAAACAGCCTGTGGTATCCCCATACTGGCTGGGCATACTCAATATCCACTCCTTTTCTTCCAGTCCCTCCAATTCCAAGCTGACTCATACAGGAGAGGGCTGGTAAAACACTTCTCTTGGAGCTCCTGCATTGCCCTAGCCAATCTCAATCCCTATGCTGAGTCCATCCCAAACTATGAACATGTCCTTATGCAAAATAGCGTTGCCCAAAGGTCTATCTTCATCAGGCACAGCCCTGTGCAATTTGTCTCTGAGCAAATTTCCAGGAAGATCAAGGCACCTAGGCTTCTCTTACCTGTAGCAGTTGTTGGTGTATTTATTGTAGCTGCCCAGAGCTGTCAGGCATCCCTGGCATATGGCGTATGAGAAGAGAATCTGTGTGCCTGCATCCATCCAGACCTGGAACAGAGAATGTCAGTGGTCTCCAGACCTGGTGACAAAATATATAAGTGGATGTGCCCTGCCTGGTAAAAACCCCTCCATCAGAGCTGAACAAACTGTGTGGGATAGGGGGACACAATGGATGCAGAAACTGGAATACATCTCTGGGAAACTGAACTATCAGATGGAAATACCTCTAGGAAAATGTTCTTATTGGGTCTGTGTTTGCACATCAGAGTGACACAAGGGCATTGGCCAGTGCTGAGTGGGCTCCTTCCCCTTTGCTCCATCCCTCTTCCCCAAGAAGGTTTTTGGGCCTTGGTCTCCCAAACTGCTGCAGGGCGAAATCCAGCACTGCTCCCACTCCCTGTCATAGATTCAGGGTAACAGGCAGGAGGGAACGCAGCCCTCTTTCTGTCTGTCTGTACACTCCCCCTCATTCTCTTTTTTCTCTAAGCAGTAGCAAACAGCCAGGCAGCTACAATTTGACAGCCTGCAGAGAACCCCAGCCTGGGCAGTGCTGTTGAGATCCACAGGAGTGTGGCATGGTTACACACACAGATCCAGCTTTGCACCCAAGCTTTGCACTCTCTAAAATCAATAGCAGAATTCCTCACTCCTGCTATGCTGCCTTGCTGCAGCCTGGAAAGACCACGTTGGCTTTGTTTAGGCTTTTAAAGGTCAGGAGGCTTTCGGTGAATAAGCTCTTGCCATGAATAAAACGCACTCAGCCTCAATCGCCCCCCTGTTATTTATTTCAATATTAAAATGCCATTTATGTTCGGCTGGCTCTTGTGTTTAGCGCTCCACAGATTTTGTATTGACAACACGTAATTGCATCTGAAAGCCATTTGGGGGAAGATAGTGTGTTTGGCAGCTGGTTTGGGAGCAGCTGGGGCTGCGGCCATCTGGGAAGATGCGGGAGGTAAGCTGAGGCTGTGGGCTAAGCATATTGCTTGGCTGCCTCCACAGAAAGATTTAGCAGCAGAATAATTAGCAGCAATGTCATTTAAATACCCTCCTTGGGGCTGGGGAGCTGCATTAACACCCTGGAGAAATGGTGCATGCAGCCTGCGTGCACTGCTGAAACCTCCTGGAAAGGAAAGCGACCTGCTGTGATGGAGTGGTGCTGGGGTCTTTGGGTTGGGGTCCCAAGTTCTGCCCACCTGGATGGGGGAAGAGACCTGACTGCATGCTGGGACATGCACTGATGGCATGTGGTTGGTCCCAGGCAAACAAAGCTCTAAGCAGGCCTGAAGAAATGGAAAGTCGTAGATTGCTTCCCCCCCACCTTTCCTCAATTATTTGTATTTAAGACCCAACAAAACCATCTGCTGCATGCTGAATATTTCATGCACTCCTCTGATTTTGCTGAGCCCATGAGTAGCAGTGACCTAATATGCCCATATGCTGCAGATGTGAGCAGAGAATCTGCACAACGTGGGGGCCAGGCCCTGCTCAACCTATAATGAGCTTCTCCCAGTCTGAAGGCCTCCCCTGAGAACAGAAAGCCAGAACCTCATCTGCCCCCACTCACCTGCGGGTCTGCTAGCCTGGAGACATCTGGCTTCAGGTAGAAGACAATCCCCTCAGCGGCACCCGGCAGTGTGACTCCTCGCACCAGCAGGATGACCAGCATCACGTATGGGAAGGTGGCAGTGAAGTACACGACCTGCAGGGAAACCAGCAGGGAGTGTGGGTGTTATTTTGTCCCACCTGCAGCCCCCACGCAGCAGATGTTCCTGGACCTTCTCTCTGGCCACAGCAGCTACTGCTGACGTGGATGTTGGGGGGGGGGGGGGGGATGTGTGGGATGGGGAAGGGATTAATCAAGGCTACATCTCAGCAGTGGTTTTGTTAATCTAGGCTCTGCTCCTCACACAAGGTTTTGTCACTGGTTGCTCTTGCTATTTTCTCTTTCCAGTCATCTTCATTTCCCTGCTCTCAAGCTGTTCTCTTCATCTTTCCAGAGCTGCAAAAGAAACCTACGTCTCTTCCTGTCACTGAGTTTTAATGAGGAGTTATTAAAATTGTCCCATTCCCAGCAAGGGGTTTCCAAATTAAACAGCAACTTTTGCTGCCCAATTTGACACTGCATTTCCAGGGGAGCTCGTGTGACTCCCTCATACCTTCAATGCCTCTGCGCACATGGGTAAAAAATGGGGACACCTGGAGCCTAGAGGTCTGTCAAGAAAACATACGCTATTGTTTCCATAAAGCTTTCTTTTCACATCTCCCTGCGTGCTATGTAAACAAATATTACAGTACAATTAATCATCCCTGATCTACTGCCCAATATAAACTTCTAGTTACTGTTGTTTGCAAAATATCCATGAGCAATCTGCAACTTCTTAACATTTATTCACTACTACAATTCATCCAAGTGAAATTAAAGCTTGTTTACTGTACGGATTCAAAGTGAGGGGTCAAAAATGAAGATGTTGCTGCCTAGTGATAATTGGTCAAATCAGTCGCGGTACTCAGCACTTCTGCTGCTCCCTGACTGAAAGAGAACAGGAGCATTTTTGGCACAAGAATGAAAATATACCTTTAGAAATCACTTCTGGGGAACATCTGCACAGATCAGGTGATTGCATCAGGAAAGGAAAGATTGAAAGTGTGCAAGAGTGGGCAAAATGAATAAAAGAAAAAGGCTTTCAATGAAAATGGTTCTTCATGGGATTATTTGAAATTATTTTCCTGAGGTTACTATTGTTTCTTTAAGGTTAGACTCCTTAAATGACAGAAGCGTAAGCACAAGAGTCTGGAAGGGCTATCTGATTGGTGCAGCCCTTCAGTCAAGCATAGCATTTGTTTACTCTGCAGTGGGTAAACAAAATTATGCACATACCCAGAGTTTCTGGGACCTTCCTACTGCTTCTCCTAACGTGTATTCAGGGTTGAAAAAGAAAGGAACTGAGTTTTGTGATGGTGTTCCTGTAAATCTCAATGTAACTACCTGCAGAGCGGACTACTGGTCTGTCTGGCTTGTGGACTGGGACAAGAAAACTCACCGTGTTGCTCACCTGAACCATACACTTGACTAGGAAAAAGTAGGTCCTATATCCTAAGCCTTGCAATGGGAAAATCTTCTGTGGTTCCAGGAAAACCATGACAGCTACTGCCTGCACTTGCTGAACTCTCACTTTCTGGGTTGACGTTGCCAAACCCAACTTGATCCCAGATTAAGTGAACTTCTTCAGCCTTCTCTCACAAGGCAAATTCCCTGCATGTGAGCAGCACTGGGCAAAGAAAAGGCTTGGCAGGAAGAGGGCTGAGAATTGATGGGAACCTGCAACAACTCGATTGCACTTCCATGCAGACACAGAGTCATAAGATCAGAATGATAATTCTCGTGAAGGTGGCACTGTGTTAACAAAACAGCCTACATGGAGCATTAGAGATTGACAATTTAAAAGCCCCTCTCCCATAGATGTGGAATCATGCTCTCCCTCCTTGAGAAGTGGTGAAAGACAGGTCAGCACCAGCAAGAGGCTCTGGAGAGCAGAGCAAGCTCTTGTCCTGTTAAAACAGCAGCCCATTAAAATGTAGTTTTAAGGTCAGAAGTGGGATTTGACACTGAAACAAAGATCTGCAGTTCTACAGGAACATTTGCCAATATTAGGGATACTTATTTGGAAGAAGGCTGTTGCAAAAAATTGGCTCCTTTCTTTGTTGCTGGGACATCCACTGAATGCCCTTATGTTGATAACCTACCCATCTCATCACAGCCCCAGGGAGGAAGGATGCCCTGACCAAGTCAAGGCTATAAGCAGAGTCCCTGACACCCACCCTGAAGCACACCACATTCATCCATCCCAGAAGGATATCCAGTCTGACCTATGGGAACTGGAGCAATGGCTTCAGCCTCAAGAGCAGAATGCACAAAGTGACCTGCTGAGCCAAAGAGCCAGAGAGAGTACAAAAGGGAGCCCAAAGGAAAGCATTAAGACATCTCTCCCACTCCAACTATTTTGCGGGATAAAAAAGCAGGAGAAATTAGTGATCTTTTTGCTGAGACAGTTGCAGGCAGAAGCTTCTCTATTTTGCTTAACTATTGCCAGGGATAGAAAGCTTGATACTGAAGAGGATCTAGCTAAAAACATAAAGAAGTCACACTGAGACAACACACTGATGAGTGGGTGGTTTCCAACGACATTTGCAGAGTATTCATCAGCCATTGTGGGTCGTCTCCAAAGACAAAGGTGACCTATGATTTCCATCAGTTCCCAGGTCTTCCACTGCTTTTCCCTCCCCGTTTTTCATCCTTCCTTTTACGGGTCAAATACAACCAATGTAAATCAATATGACCCCACCAGATTTTAGGTTTGACTTTGGTGCTGTGTATCTCCAGTCTCTACTTCATGAAAAAGTAAGAGATGGGGAAAGAAATGTAAGATGGGTACAAGGAGGATTATGGATGAGGAGGACCATCTCTGTTCCTACTTTTCCTGTGGACTTGACACCTTTCCAGATGCAGAAGTAGCAGATGATCCACGCCAGCAGGAGACACAGAGCCAGCTCCCAGCGCACAGTGCCCAGTTTGTGAATACCATCCGTTATTCCCAGGACTCTCTTCCTGTCGGTATCCAGGGACAGGGAGATAAGCATTAACACCTCAGATCCCATTAATTCAAATACACCTTTGACATTTTACCTCATGAAAAGACTAAACAGATCTGTCTGGGCTCCCAGATGAGTGAATTACCACAGCATTGCCAAGGGCTTACTTCTCTGTTATTGCTGTGGATGTTGCTCCACTGTGCCCCGCAGCTAGCTCAAGCCCTCCAACCCTCCCAGCCCACTGCAGTGTGCTCACCAGAGCCACACAGAATGAAATCATCAAGTACACCTCACTGATCCATCACCCTGACAGCTGCTAGGTAGACTCTTCTCCATCCAAAGCAAGCTACTAATGTCATCGTCAACCCATGGCCACTTTCCTCTCACCTCCCCATACACTATGGACACCCTGCACATAAGTTAAAATGATCTCTGTTTTTCCCATCTCCTTTCTTCAGCCTCATTCTCCAGATACTCACCATCACCAAGATGGACAACAGGAGAGCTCAGCCCTGCAGCTCATGCAGTCCTAGCAGCCCAGTCCCACACTTTGGATTCCTATGCACTCCTTCCTCCAAATCAAACTTCTTGTGGCTCCGTTTGCATTGCAGCTTGTGCAAAAACCCCAAACAACTATTTCTGAGAGGTAACAACCCACAGATGTAGAGAACAGGGCAGGAAAGAGAGTCTGGCAACATGCAGACTTTTTCTGCATCCATACCTCATATTCTCTTTGCACTTTGGTTGTTGCAAGGGACAACCTCTCTCTCCTCTCAGGGGCACCTGAATAGCTATAGAAACAGCATGGTTCTTGCAGCCATTTCAAACTCTTTGCGCTGCAGTGAGAAGCCTCTCTAAGATGCTGGCCTGCTGAAAAACCCCTCTTTCATAGGTGATTTATTGCCTCCAGACCCATGGCCAAACCTTCCTGAGTGCCTGTCTGCTGCCTCACCTATCTGCCTCAGATGTCTGCTCACGTACAAAGACAGGGCAGCCAGATAGACCTCTTCCTTTGGAAAGATGTGTTCAGAAGAAGTGAAACGGCAGTTTTACCCTTTCTATTTCACTGTAGAGGACTGATCAGTCTGCCCCCTGGCCTCTTCTTGCAGAGAACACCCAGCTTACAGAAAGTCCTAATTTCTTTTGGTACTTCTTTTTTGCCCTGACATCTCAGTGCCAGAACATGTGCATGTGTGCACACGAGCTCTCTAGGCTGGCATGCTACTGCAAGCAGCCTTCAGGGTGCATTTAGTTCTCCTGGAATCCACGATGATCTCCTTGGCAGCTCTGTGCACTGTGCTCCCCAAGTCTGACATGCCCCTGTTTCTGACACGTGGCACCTTACTTGGTCTTACGGAATCCCTCCCACTCCAGCATATCTCCTGGATGAGAGAGGAGCCTGAACGGAAGAAAGGTGATCACGTACTCCCAAAACTCAACCACTGGAGAGGTGGTGTTTGCAGGCACAGTTCTGTTGTCCCAGTTGGAGGTATTCAGAAAGTCCGCACAGAGATCTAGCAAAAGAAAAGGAAGTAAATGAGCCAGAGAAATTTTCCAAGACTCCTCCATGAGGGATGCTCCTTCCCCACTGTTCCCTAGCCTTCATGCTGACTGTACACAGACTCTTCACCCTGTGCTATAAAACATCTCATTAAACTTTTGTATCTCATTAAGCATCTCACTGAAGCCTGGCTCTCCCCAGTTATGAATTCCAGTCCAAGAGTAGGCAGAGAGCTTGGGTATGAGAGGGGGAAGGGGGGAGCTTCTCTGCCGAATGGAAACCACATGACTGCAAAATGTAGATTACTGTGAAGAAGCCACCATAGGTAGCCAAAAATAAAAAAGAAAAATTTAAAAGATGGAAAATCCCATTCTCCTCACACATCACACATCATCTGCTATCCACACATATATGCGTATATTCTCAAACACCACAACTGCTTTCATGTTCCACTATACCATCCCCAACTCTGTCACACAGTGTAAAACTGCTAAAAATGGAGGAGATGCCATGCATCCAAGAAATGCACTTCATCACACATTTGGCAAGAAAAAGATAGTCCACAGGAAAACAGAGGAATGCCAACTCTGGCTGGGAAGCTTCAGCACATGAAGAGAACATCTGTGGTTTTCCCAACAAAACAAACAAACAAACACCCCCCCAAAAAAAAAAGCACGTTGGGGGAGCTAAAGGAATCAGATCCACTCTTTACAAAGATGCTTACCTCTGCTGGGATGTAGGGGCAGAGGAAGCTGTGAGTAAATAGCCCATAGGGCAGGGAAATTTAACACATCAAAGGAATGATTCACCACAAAATAAATAAATAAATAAAGGGCTTTAGCTGCTGCTGAAGCCCTTTCCAGCCTGGCTTTGAACTGAAAGCAAAACAACCTGTTCAATATGGTTAAAAAAAAAAAAAAAAAAGCAAAAGCATGCCAAGCCTCATCAGATTCATGAAAGTTACCTCATATCTAATTCCACTTCCAAGGAACAGCCCAAGTGCCTTAAATAAAATGAAAGCCTAGTCTTTACTGCTGGGCATGGTGTTGTGATCTGCAGGCATGAGGAATTGAGATCCTTGGCCAAGACAATGAAATTAGACCAGAAGAAGAAGGCTTTAAGAGTTTTGTGTTCCTGGTTCCTGCACTGGGAGACTCATACTGGCAAATCCTCCTATGCAGGTTTGGGCTGATTTAGCCAAAAGTTGAGTGTGCAAAAGAAAACAGCTGAGCAGCTACCGCTCCAGAAGCTCAGAAGGAGCCAAGTAGCAAAAGGGAATTGTAAAATAAATCATTGTGCCAGAGCTAATGAAAAGCTCTTGCCTTGTGAGGGACACTACAAATTGGCTTGAAATCTCTTCTCAACCCACATATCCCATTTTCCAGAAAACGTGGATTGTTCAGTGAAATCTCAACACTGAAAGTATCTCCATGCAGAAATAGTCTTACTGTCCCCTACTACTGAGTATAAAGCCAGACCACTCATTCACTCTTCCTGGCCTTTTGTCCATGGTGAATGAAGACCGCTGCCTTCACAGGAATCCCACAGACCACAGAGCACCTCATGGGAGCAACCCCTCTGGACAGTACTCTGTGAAACCCACAGTACAACTACAAAATAATGTCAGAAGCCAAGACATTCATCTACAGTAAAAATATTTTTAGACAAGTGAAAAAGCATTTTCTACAAAACCCAAATAATTTCTGGGAATTGGGAAGGGGGAAAAGAAATCTATGAATCTGTGACTGCATGAATCTATTTGAAAACTGAGACTCCATCTCCTACCTTTCCTCCAACCAGAAGCCAACCAGAGGAAGGTATACCTGAGTTCCAAGGGTTATTGCAGCTGGCCCATGGTAGTACAGTGGTGAATGAGCTGAACAGGTAGAAGAGTGCCCAGGACAGTATAATGATATAGTAGATGTTTAGATAGGTCTCAATGACTTGCGAGGAATATCCAATTCCTGTGAAGAAAAACAAAGCCTCTGAGAAGGCCATCAGATGTCAAATGTCTAAATTCATCCCCCACCCCCTCCCCAAAAACAAAAAATGGCATAGTGCATGCTATAGTAAGCAGAGTGTAACGCCAAGCATAGGTCACTAGAGAATAGAGTAAGAGCTACCTCTAGGAAAGAGAAGGGATTTTATGAAGACAAGAAATGTTGCTGGTATCTCTAGACAGCTATATGGTGGAGCAGAGGGAGAAAACTTTTCACTGATGAGAAAATATTTTTCTGATACTAGCGCTGTTATATTACACTGCCTCACCTTCAGGAAAACAAGACGTATAGCCTTGAAAAAAAAGAAATACAGGTGAGTTTATTTCTTCTGGAAAGACTTGGGCAAGAAGAATTCTCACTGGTGATGTACACCAATCATAAAATATGGTGATGGGGCAAAAGACCATATATAGGAGACGAGCTCTGCCCTTGGGTCTTTGGGCTCATCACTCACTGAGACACCAGAAAAGTCATTGGGTCAGAAAGCCTAAATTCATCTGCTGAAAACTGGCTGTCAGCTCCCTTAGAGATACCATTGCTGTCTGCCTCCAGCTCATGTGCTGGTATTTAATTTGCCTGAATATAGGCTTCTCTTTCCTTTGGCACTGGTAAGGTTGCACTATAAGTACTGTGCTCGGTTTTGGGCCCCTCACTACAAGAAAGACATTGAGGCCCTGGAATATGTCCAGAGAAAGGCAACAAAGATGTGAAGGGTTTGGAGCACAGGTCTTGTGGGGAGTGGCTGAGGGAACTGAGATTGTTCAGTCTGGAGAAGAGGAGGCTCAGAGAAGACCTTATCAGACACTGAAAGGAGGTTGCAGAGATGTGAGGGTCAACTTCTTTTCCCAAGTAACAGTGATAGAATCAGAAGGAATGGCCTCAAGTTGCACCAGCAGAGTTGGATGTTAGGAAACATTCCTTCTCAGAAAGAGCGATGACACATTGGCACAGGCTGCTCAGGGTGGGGGTGGAGTCACTGCCCCGGAGGCATTCAAGAACCATGTGGATGTGGCACTGTGGGACACATGTAGTGGTATGGTGCTGTTGGGCTGGCATTTGGACTTAACAATCTTAGTAGTCTTTTTCAACCATTATGATTCTATGAGTCTCTGCCCATAAAATGAGTGTAATAGACTCTCCTCTGGGCAGAAGAATTGTGGAAGTTAAATTCATTAACATCTTAAAGCCATTTAGCAATCTTCTTCCATGAGCTCAGGAGTCCTAGTTCTTATACCTGTACCTTAGTCCCAGCCTAGCTTCAGGCTGTCAGTGTGGTGGCTGCAGCACAAGAACCCCAGTATGCAGGACATCAGTCTCATTCTCTCATGAGCATTTGTCCCAGCTTCCGTGGAGGTTTTTGTCTGTCAACACATACCCTTTTTCCCAGCATCACTCACTTTTAGTCACCTACAGGAATCACCAGCACACACAGCAGGCACCAGGAGAGAAAACAGGGCTGCGAGAGAAAGGAAGGGAGGGGGAATAGGAAAAAAACGAAGAAAGGAAAGGGAAAAGGAAAGGGAAACAGAAAGGGAAAGGGAAAGGAGGAAATGTGGAAGAGAGAGAAAGAAAGAGAGGGAAAGAGAAGCAGAATAATGCTTCCAAAAGAGGCTCTGAGTCACTAATTTTTAGAAAGTGCTGCCAGCAGTTCCTGTAAATTGACTCACCTTCAAAGATGGGACAGATCTTCCTCCAGGCAGTGACCCCTCCTTGGCTGGTGTACTGCCCCAGTGCTGTCTCCAGAAGGAACAGTGGGATCCCACAGGTGAAGAGAAAGATGAGGTAGGGGATGAGGAATGCTCCTGCAAAGAGAGATCAGATACTGCCTCAGGAACCTCTTTAAAACCTTACCCTACACACCCCTTACAGATACCTTGGGCCACAGCTAGAATCCTCTAGATGTAAACAGAAATATTTCCCTGAATTAACTGTGTGGCCTCTGCAAAAGAAAAAGTTCTCTTACTTCATCAGTTCTTGGAAAAATACAAGTCTGGTCTGCCTCATGCTTCTGCAGTACTGCTGCATTTGTGTTGGCCAATGGCTAGAGGTAAGGTAGAGCTGTTTGACTGGAAAAGACCACACTTACAAAAGTGTCCCTGTTATCATTCCCCAACTTCATGCTCACTTTCAGCAGGAGACAGGCAAAGCACGAGGAGCCCTTGCTTCACATAATTGCATTTGTTCTGCCTGTCCTGGGAGTCACAGAAAACTTGCTTGGAGGATACAAACCTGGGGACTGTGGCATTTCTTGATAAATAATAAATCTATTGGAGTATAAATTCGCTTGAGACAGATTTCACATCAAATTAGACAAGTAGTTTGCACTTGAAAGAATGGAAGTAGAGGGATGGCAAAAGAGTATCTTTCTAGCATTTTCAAAATGAAAAAGTTTAACTTCTCTCTTTGGTATTTCATTAAAATAAAGAGTGTGAGGCTTCCACATTTTCACTCCCCTCCAAAGACAGGCAGTAAAAGCAAAGCAAGTCAGGGTAGATGTCTTTCTGTCAGGGTCCTTCCATCACACAGCAAAATTTAGTCATGAGCATCTCCCACTGCCAGTGCCTGGGGAGCAGCAGCAGTGTGGACAGCAGAAATGAGGGCCTCAACAGGAACAGGCTTTGTCCCCAGGTCCCAATTCTCCCCTGCCAGCACTGCCACTCATGCTGAAATTCCTTCTCATGAAGGATAATTAGCAATTAGGAGCATTTCCTCTTGTTTTTAAGCCAGCAATGTTACAATAACAAGCTGATCCAGATTTTCTCTAAACACAGCTGTGCTGTAGCTACAGGGGACCTGAGGGTGGAGGCAGGGAACTCGGTTCACAGCCTCCTTACAGGTTTGCAGAGCAGGCAGTGGAAACTGCTTAAGCTAAACCAGAGGCAGCTGCTCCTTTGCTGTTACAAGACCCCTTTGCAACAAATCTGCAGGACAATTTTATTATCCTGTGCATGTGGGAGCCTTCCAGCAGGCCAGACCCTCTCCTTTGGTATTATGTCTCAAAGGCTGACCTGTTTTATTCTGAGCAATGAGGGCTTTCTTATACCTTTCCTGCCTTGTCTCCCTTAACCTTCCCCGGCTGTTACCAGCTGATACTCCAACTGCCATCTCCTCCCCTCTTTGCTTCTCCACTAAAGGAGGCTCAGCAAGAAAGCTCTCCTTTCCTTATGAAAGAAACAGACCTCCTTTCCTTATGATTCTATAGCAACTACAGGATGCTGAGCAATTAGATCAAACTTGAAGTGAAACCATACACAAGCTTACAGTCAGTTGATTTACAAAAAATTAACATGATTGTTTTTATTTCATCAGTCTTCACAACTTTATAACTGTTTCACTGCATTGGAAGGTAGAGAAAGGTAACAGGACACCATTCCCAGGCTGGCAGCAGTGGAGAAGTAACAAAAGGCAAAAATACCTTTTTTTTTTGCAACAATGTGAAGGGCTTTTCCAATGGTAAGGATATATTTTAGTGTCATGGGAAAGAGAGCAGGTTGTCTCAACAAACTAGTTTGTTGTCCATTTGTTTGTTGTCCATTTGTTTCCCTGGAGCATTGGAGAAAGAAATGTTTCCCCTACAGTCATAACATATAGACATACAGTCATAACAGTCCAGGACTACTGGACTGGATAATATAGACATATACTATGTAAAGGTATCATCCAAGCCCAGGAAAGAACTTCCATGCAAAAAACATGACCTTTCTCTCAAATCATCACTGCAGAATGGGCTGTTCAATAATGTGCAGCACCTGCGTTAAGTATCCTGTGCTTTTCTGACTTACTGCCATCACAATCTCAAAGAAGGTAACTAAAGAATCTACTTAAAAAACGACCCCAGGTTCAAGTAAAGACTCTTTCTATTTTCTTAAACCATCTTCTCATCCAACCCCCATCTGGCTCAGAGGTGACATTGTACTGACTCCAGCTTGATTTGGAAGAACTCCAGAAACAACACACAGGATGAGAATTTGGTAATCTTGGGATGAAGAACAGCTGAATCAGTAATCTGTTGGTGACAGCTTACAGCACATGGCGGAAGAATGGCCTTTGAGATATAGTCTGCAGGGGAAAAATACTTAAGGCAAGGGAAACATGCTAACAAAAGCTAGGCAGCCAATTATTCTCTTTTTCCTCCCCAGCTATGTTTTATTGTTATGAGAAAGCTTATTTTTTAACCACTTAATGATTTTATTGCATTGTTATTGTGAAAGGGGCAGCCACATAAGAAACAAAAGGGAAGGGAATAGATTATTCCTGGGGACAGATTTCCCTAGCAGTGTGTTGACCACTGGCAGAACTGCTCCTGGGAAAGTGGTAGCTGCATCCTTCTTTCCATCCTCAGAAAACCCTTCTCATATATTCTCAAAGATGTCTCTTCTGTCTTATATTTCCCCATACAACAAGATAAGATGCTTCAGCTTCCATCACTTCTGGAGCTGAGTTATGGTGGCATAATAAAACACTGTGTTGCCCTCATAACCACAGGGCAGCCAGCCCTGTGAGAGTTGCAGGTGGGAGTTCAAGTTTTCTGAAGAAGGAAGAGAGCACCCAGGTGCCAGGAAGGACATACCAGGCTTTAGCAAGGATACTGGCACCATCAAAGCCTTTCCTCCTCTATAACAAGGTCCTGAGAGAGGTGGGGGTAATAGATAGAGTGGGAAAGGTAATGATGCAGAAGGAGGTTGATGCTGTCTTTCTGACCCCTTACAGCTCATTTTGGAAGACCATATGTGTCTCTGAACAGCCTCAAACCCAACAGCCTCAAACAGTTCCTGAGAGGTAGAGCTCCTCTCCTAAAAGATTCATTTGTAATTAAAACTCAGCAGAGCTGCTTTGAGAAGCAGCACCCACTGGGAGAAATAGGCCCAGAAATGGTCTGCAGACCAAGAACAACTCTTACTAACAACTTACCACCGCCATTCTTGTAGCAGAGGTATGGGAACCTCCACACATTACCCAGACCAATGATCTCTCCAGCTACAGACAGCACAAACTCCACTTTGCTGCTCCACTGGCCTCGCTCTTCCATTTCCTCCTCTTCTGTCTCTTCAGGAACTGCAAGTGCCCCATTGGGCTCTGCCTTCTTGACTGTGGCTCTGGTCATGGCTCTGTGGGACAGAGGAGAAACAGAATGCAGGTGCAGAGAGCCACTGGTGGGAAAAGGAGTGAGGGGACCAGCCGCAACAACAGACCCATTCCTACTGTCACCTTGAGTGCAAAAGTGAAAGAAAAATTTGCAGGAGAAAGCAGAGCTATGGAATCACAGAGAAAATTCACTCACTGCTTGAGAAGCCACACTGAATGTGGCTGGGCCTAAGGGGTGGAACAAGGAAGACATTTTCTAATCTATACAGAATAATGAGCTATCCGTAGCGTCATCTTAATTAAACAAGATTAGTCATTGCTTATTGCAAAATGCAGTTTTCTACTGTACACAGAGTCAGTCTAAATCTAGCCAAAATTCACTCAAGTCAGAATAAATCTTCTTGTTGACAACATCTTCACATTGATTCCTAGTATTTGATTATAAAGAGAAGATTAAGGGTAAAGACAGGAAACTTCTTTTACCCATCTGAAATAATCCTCCTCAAAAGCATGCCCTAATGGGTTACCTGGTGTAAGGATGCACAGGGGAAGCACAGCCTTAACATGAACAGGGTAGATGATGAACTGTGCCAGGGAAGTCCTAGCTGTAGCTACATCTTGCTGGTGGCTTTGCTCAGAAGTTGGCCTTAGAAGGGCCAGTTGGTATCAGCAACATGCATCAGGGATACATGTTCCCTTGCTTGACTTAGGAAGCTGCACTGGAAGCAAATCCCTCCAAAGTAACAACGTCTCTGAAAGGCTTCCATCCCCACTGTCTTAAGTGCAAAGAAACGAGGGCTTTCTCTCTTCACATTAGCTTGCTGGTGGTTTGGTAGGTATCTTAACATCACTTCTACTTCTTCCCCCTTCCATCCTAAGGGGCCATCCCCATTACCAAGGATCAGCAGAGATAGGTATCTGTGCTGCCCACACTGTTCATCTCTTCCTCTGTCCCTGGATCTCCCCTGGACCATTGAGTGCCCAGGTGAAATCCAGGCAAGGTTCTGGAAGTGGCTCAGTCCAGGGACCTCTCCAAGCCAATAGAATGAGCAATACCTCACCACATTTTACTCCACCTTACAGGACCTCCAAACCAATCTAACATTTTGCAGTCTCATATGGACACCATTCTTTCTCTCTTTGTACGTTCTCTCCAGTTTTCTCACTTAAGGCTAGCTAGTGTGTAAGGACAATCAGAAAGCCTGAGGCAACTGGGAATAACAATAGGTATGGTCTTACTAACAAACTGGCCTGGTAGCATAAAAACACCATGGCGTTTCTTTTGGTGCAGTGTTCAACAGGGTGAGAGGGAAGCAGGATCAGGTTGATCCTTGATGCTTGAGCTTGCTTCACACAAGACAGCATCATTATCACTGGGTCTCATTTGCTTCTGCAAGTTGCCTAATGCAAATGAAATCATTTCCTAAATGCTAACCCTCTGGATATATCAGGTCCTCAGGCAGAGAAAGACACTTGCATATGAAAAGGCAATTTTTAGTGAATGTGCATAGCAAAGCAAGCAGGTTTTGGCAGAAGGCATATTTTCTGTCATTCAAGTACAGAAAAGAAACCAGACCACAGTGTAAAACATCAATTGCTCTGTAAATACCCAGGCCTTTGCGTCCGCATCTGCCTTCATGCTAAGGGGCCCCTACACTTCCCTTTGACATCAGCAGCACAATTTTATAGAGTCACTGAATCTCTCAAGTTGGAAAGGACTCATAAGGATCATTGGGCACAACCCCTGGCTCCACACAGCACCAAACCCGGTGTCTGAGAGCGGTGACCCAATGCCCCTTGACCTCCAGCACTTGGGGCCGTGCCCGCTGCCCTGGGCAGCCCGTTCCATACCCACCGCCCTGTGCTGCAGACTCTGTCCCTGACCCCCGGCTGCCCTCCCCTGACGCAGCTCCATGCCGTTCCCTCGGCCCTGTCGCTGTCACACGGAGCAGAGCTCGGCGCTGCCCCTCCGCTTCCTGTGCGGAGCTGCAGCCGCCATCAGGCCTCCCCTCAGCTCCTCTGCTCTGCACTGAGCAAACCCAGGGCCCTCACTTTCACACTTTGCCCTCCAGAACCTCCTTCATCTCTTTAGCCCTCCTTTGGACGCTCTCATAGTTTTATGCCCTTTTTGTACTGTGGCACTTCAAACTGCACACAGTACTCAAGGTGAGGCTCCGCTGGTGCAGTGTGGAGTGGGACAATCGCTTCCCTCAACTGGCTGGCAATGCTGTGCACGATGCACCCCAGCATAGGGTTGGCCTTTCCACAGACTCTGAAAGCAGAAGACTGAATCACATACAAAGTTCTAACACTGCCTTTAGTAAGATGAGCTGCAGCAAGAGCAGTGGGGCTTATAGCACAGAGAAGGGCAGTTAGGGGCCATTGGAGGGCATTTTCAAGGCTACGTGTCTGCCTGCTGAAAAACACTGCACAAAGATTCTGGTTCCCCATTAAACCTGAAAGCTTTTCAGCTCCACCTTTGCCCCTTCCACTTTGCTTCCCTGCTGGGATGGATGTGAAGGGGAAGGGCCAGGCCCTGCTGCCGGCCTTTTCCTGGCTTCTGAAGGACCCTCTCCCTGCTGCCTGCCTGCTGCAGGGCTGCCAGCTGGCTCATCAGTTCATTCAGATGCTGCAGCACAGCCTCCTCGGCTCTGAGAGTAGCAGAGCTCCTCGCACTGTCAAATGGGAGAGAAAAAAATAGCACGTACTTAATGAAACATGTTTGATCTGTCACAGTCCTTGGCATGTCCCAATTTGCTGCAGTCCAGGGCACATTATCAAGTACAATGATGCTTAAGTCTGGGCTTATTGAGGATGTCATGAAAAGCTGACAGGAGAGGACTTGGCTAATTCTTTGCTTTTGTTCTTTTAATGCAAGGAGATCCAAGAAGCAGTCTATTTCTACTAATATTTGTGTTTTCCCTGGTTGTGTGTTAGCCCTGTCTCTGAGAGGGGCAGGGAAGCTCACTGATGGGCAGCCACCTCCTCTGCCCAGCCCAGGAGGCAGTGCTGAGTGCTAGTCCAGAGCCCCAGTGCTGCTATCAGGGATATCTGGAGCAGGACATGGGTTCTGACCTGCTCTGACCCCATCCTGTGGCCCCAGAACAGGCCAACATGAAGAGTAGAATCTGGAATGCCACCCTAGGAAAGCATGGATCAGCAGGGGAGATACTGCGCTTGTGGCTTTATTTTCCTATTGCAAAAAAGGGAGAAGCACCCAAGTTATGGAAATAAACCTTTTCAACTAGGTATGGTTGGTAGATTAAACCAGTGCCCAAAGTTTGGGCCCTTTGTGTCTCAAGCTCCCATTTCTCCCTTCCCAAGCGAAGTGATACACAGCATTACACATCAGATTTTCCTCCTCTGCATTGCCTGCTGTTTCTATGAAGAAGCCTATTCACACAACTCCTGCTTCTTTTCTGAAACATCTACTCCCACTGTGCTCTTGCCCTATATGTTCCCAGGCCAGATGGGGACTCAAATAGCTTCTTGTTTCCAGCTAGGAATAATATGAGTCTCCCACAGCAGCCCAGACACCCACTGTGTTACATCTTTCCTGACGTGCATTTTCTTCTTCCTTTAGATATTTCTGTCCTTAATACACAAGCTTGGAAAAAATACTTTGCTTCTCACTGCCTGCCTGCAATTCTTCTGCTCTCTCATTATCAAAGTTTGAAGAAAACTGGCTCCTTCCCTCTGTCTCTTTTGTTCCTTTGCCATGAGGTCTTTCCCATGACTGAGATGCCCCTGGCATAGCCCACAGTTCTGCCACTCATCCACCACCTCCATCCTCTGACCTCATCTCCTTCCAACCTCACCAGCCACTTTCAGAGATGCCCTACTGTATTTTCAACCCCCAGTCCATCAGTAAGGTGCCTGGAGCAAGTTGCCCAGAGAGGTGGTGGATACCCCATCCCTGGAGACAATCAAGGTCAGGCTGGATGGGGCTCTAAGCAATCTACCTGTGGATGACTGTTCATTGCATGGAGGTTGGACCACATGACCTCTAAAAGTTCCTTCCAATTCAAACAATTCTATGATTTTCCAGGCCAGGCCTTGCAGACATGACCTGTCCTCTCCCCACAGAGGGAACAGGGCAGGTTTGGAACAGGGCATGGTGTGTGCCAGCAGCCAAGTTTTTTCTCCACAAGCTGTAAATGCTGCAACAATCAGAATCCTCCTGGATTCTGCCTGTCACTGAAAAGAGAGCAGACAGCACGCAGGCAGCCTCAAGCAAGTCCCTTCCTCAGAAGCTGGCTGAGGTAACCACGTCTCTCAGTGTTCACAATTTTGGGGTTTTGTTGGCCTGCAGCCATGGGATCTTTCCCATATGGCCACTCAAGGCAAGCAAGGCCCAGGACACAGCTGAAGTGCTGTGAGCCAGTTCAGTCCCACATGCCAAAAGCACTATGCAGAAAAGCAATACTTACTGATTGTGTTTGGTTGCAAACTGTCATTAAAGAGAGAGGCAAGAATCAGAAAGAGGAGAATGAAAGCATCATTTGAAAGCAAATCCTAGTGGTACCTCAGTCCCTTCTAAGGCAAAAAGGACTGAGGACTGCTCATATGAGATGAGGAACAAGAGTAAAAAGAGAAGGAAGCCACCAGGAGTTCTGACATAGGAGGGAGAAGGTTGCCTTCCCACAAGCCCAGTGTCACCACTCAAGAGCCCTGCCTCTGGGCAGCTGACCTCTGTTTGACCCTCTTCTGCTGTTTTATCTCTAGGCAAACGAGAAGAGGGCAGTCTCAGGAGCAAACAGTGAATCAGCAATTGATACCATATCAAAAAGCAGAAGATAACGCTCACCAGAGGAAGCGCAATGTAAAGCACCTTTGGACACTGGTAGGTGCTGTTTGAGTTGCAGGAGGCAGAGTCACAGTTGATGGCTGAAGACAGCATTGCATTTATGTGTCCTGGCTTTATTGTGGAAGAAGTAGCAGTCAAGCACATGAACTGCAAATTGAGGTGGGGAGGGAGGAATCAGAAAGGCAGGCTGTGCTGTGTTATGCAAGGAGGAGCAGGACAATGCAGGAAATTTGTAGGCTACATGATATGAACTGGCAGCTGGAATCCTGTACCACATGCCAATGGTGAGGAGGGAACAAGGACAGAGAACAAGGGTACAGTGCCAGGGTACAGCTGAAAGAGCAGTCCAGAGGAGCAGTGCTGCTGCTGGAGCAGGGCAGAGACGCAAGATGTACAGGGAAATGGGAGCAGTACCTCTTCCCAGCAACATGAATAGTGATTGCTGCTCCCAAACCTGAACTTGTCTGGAGCATGGCTCGCTCCAGCTGCAAGAAGAAGGGCAAGAAAAAGTATAGCGAGAGAAAAGTGATCAGTTCCCGGACACAAGTTCAAATTAAAATGCCTTTCTTTTCTAGATGTTGAAAGCTACCTGGCTTCTTTACAATTCTTGATTAACTTTTGAGTGATGTGGGTGATACAGGGTATCTCAAGGCATCAAGGTTCTTGGGGCACAGTGGACCCATGCCATGAGGATCCATGCCATCCTGCCACGAGGATCAGACCTGGCTTGCATTTTCTCCAACATGAAAAAAGGGCAATACTCCTGCATTCAGCATTTTTGCTGCTTACTGACACCAGCAAGAATGAGAGTAGGAGCATCTGTAAAGATGCTAATGACATGTATATCTATGACGCAAGCTGCAAGGTGAGCAGAGTGCACTCCCTTGCAGGAAAGGACCAAGCCTTTCCTCATTGTCCTCTACTAGCAGAGAAACACAACCCATGCTAAGAGCAGTGCAGGCTTGTTTCTTCCTCACACTGGCTCTTTGGTGCCTGCAGCTCATCGTTCCTGCTGCAGAGGGTAAAGCCACAGAAGACCATGAAGACCCGAGCCCCGCAGCAGCCTGGGCCTGGTTGGAGTCTCCAAATGCTGGTTGGAGCCTGGGTCTAGCTGGACGCCTGGCTGCCAGCCAAGGCGCACAGGCAGCAGAGAGGTTCTACCGGGGCAGGACAGTGACCTGTCGTGCAGACCCACACGGACAGGACAGAGTCCAAGGCAGGGGATACAGTGGCTGCAGGGCTGCTCCTTCACAGAGCTTCAAGCTCGGGAAGCACGCGGATGTGCACTGAAGCCTTGGGGCCCTGCCCGGAGCACCAGCAGGCAGCAGTAAGACACAGGGCCTGCTGGGCAGACCTCATCAGGGACCACATCTTCAGCCCCACACTCAGCACTGATGGGCTTCTGCAGAGCTGTGAAGGCCAGGTCCAAGGTTCAGACCCTTATATTTCGAGTTCTCAGTGAAGAAAACTAAGGCAATAGCATTTCCAATGACATTGGATGAAAGCCCCCGTTCACCACAGTGATTGCTTTAAAAGCACTGTTGTTGATTTAAGGAGATGTGGATCAGATGTTATGAAACCCCCACGTGATCTGCTTGGGTTTGTTCACAAACACACCCTCAGATCAGGGCTTCTGCACATGCACAGATCTTGCCTTCTCCCTGCCCTCCCCCAGGCTGGTTCTTCACCCCTAACTGGGAACAGATCCCAAGGACACCCTGAGCAGGAAGGATAAGGAGCAGAAAGCACCTCTTGGAGCTGCACCGCCGAGCCACGCACTAGCACAGGGTCAGCAATCTGCAGGGTAGCATGGTAGGAGTCACTGCCTCCTGCTTGCCTTGAAGCTTTTCCCCTACATATCACTACCTAGCTATTGCTGCTCTTCATTCCCATCCCTCTCTGGCCCCCTCTTATGTCTTTCTCCACCTTTCTTCTGCATGAGGCCTTCTCTCGCTCTACTGCAGCCTTCAGTGCCAATTGCCCATCCTTCAGGTATCCACCGCTTCTTGGCAGCACAACTGCCTGCTCTGTCCGACAGGAACCATTAGGAGCAAGCTGTTCCCTGTGCTGATCCAAACTGATAATTGCTCCCCACCCTCCAGCCCTCTATCCTTTTGCTGGGAATTGTTTTCCCTCACAAATTCACTGGCCCACTCCCAGCCAGACCTGCAGGCGAGCAGATGCCCATCTCACCTGCACCCATGTGGGATCTGCCAGGCAAGCCAGTCCCGTCTCACCAGTGTCCAGATGGGGAATCCACTGCACTGCACGCCAGGGAGATCCAGCAAGAGTTAAGGGAAAGGCTCCCCTCTCTCCTCCTCCAGTCCCTCCCCTTCCACCAACTCCCCCCATCAAATTGTCACCCTGCTCTCAGGTGGGTGGTGGGATGGCACAGGGAGGTGTGCCGGGGAGGGAGAACTCTCTCTGCAGCTCCATTTCCACATGTGCCTCTCCAGACCTTGAACTGTGGCCCTGATAGGAAAGCAAGAATAGCAAGCAGCTGTGGGTGGACAGGGCAAAGGCCCTACATTTGCAAAGATCAACCATCGGCAGTAAGCCCACCGATCCCAAAGCATGGCCCCAGCCACCTGCCTGCTCTGCACCCATCTCAGCACCAACGTGCTTTTCCAGGGCTGATTGAGTGCTATGCCAGCAGCAGGCATTCCAGTTCTGCTACTTTTCTCAAAACAGTTCAGCTCCATACATTTTTTTTTAAATGATTGTTACTGTTTCATCTATCACTTTGCCCATAAACATGTCTGCCAAATTTCTACTGACCTTTTCTTGTATCTATGCCGTCAAACCAGAGTCGCATGCAGGATTTAAACTGGGACGTGTCCACCATACACCAGGGTTAGAGCTTCCTCTGGTCATCAGAGAGCTGACAGCAGCCCTCTGGGTCATGAGAGACCACAGCATGAGCACCACAGTCTCTTCTGATGGGGGACCGTACTGCCGCCTGTCCTGTTGCAGCGCTCCAGCGTCACCCAGGGCAGCTGGGAAAAGGGACAGAAGAGGTTATCCAGATATGGAGGGGGATTGAGATAAGCCTAGGTAAGCAGAACTGACCTAAAAACCTCATTTATCCACACTGAAGTATTTCACAAGAACATCACAGCCTTTTTGCAAAACTGTAGATGGGAAAAGACCTGTGACATTCAGGCAAAAGAAGAAGAAAGCCAAACTAAATGAAAACTTTATCTAGAAATGAGTGAAAATCACTCTCCATCAGGGAAAAAAGGGCTGTTATTTCTGCTCTTCAAACCAGAAAATACCAGAAGTTACACTCAATTTTCAGAGTTTCTCCCCGGCTAATAATTCATCGTAGTTTTCACGGGGCAACCTGATCCTGCTGTGGCAGCATCCACTTAAGGACTCACCATTGTCATAGCCCAGATCCCAACAACCTGATCTTCATCCTCTGCCATTCTGGTGGCACAGACCCCAGGGACCACTAAAGATCAGGACTCTTGGTCCATGCTGCACTGCCAGTAGTGGCTGTCCCTGCCTTTGGGCACACCCTGCACCCCAGCAAAGTTCTCCTGCTCCCTGCTGGCTGGCAGCACTCCTCACCTCCTTTCTTCTCTCACTCTTCCAGGCCAGAGCATGGTGCAGTCTGGCTCCCATCTCACTGGGCTTCAGTCGGAGGAGCCACCACAGCCAATGCCCATCCATCTTTTGACACCTTTGCTAATGAAACCAAAATAACGCTGTAATAACAGCTGCTTGTTTGATCAGGAATTTGCCTTGTCAGCTGAACACTGTATTTTTAGAGGAGTTTCCCCTATGCATTCTTATAATTTATGCTTTATGTTTATGGTTAATTTCTGCTTAAGCAAGCCTGTCCTACAACAATTCCACCGTAACTAATCACAAGTGAACATAACTAAAAGTGCTAACGAGGCCCTGCTGTACCGTAATGGGCTCCGGCAGCTGCAGTGCTGCTCCAACACAGGGCCTCACTTGTGCCCCTCTCAGCACTGCCCATCACTGACAGCCTCTTCCTAGGGCTCTAGAGAAGAGGAGGCTGTCAGGAGTCTCCTGCTTCAGTAGCACATTCAGGGCGAAATGTCCCTCTATCCTACGGCTCCCATGGTAAAGGAGAGGACAAGGCAAGGGGAGATTGTGCAGGAGCTCAGTGTTGGCAACAACAGTGGGCTGTGGGAGGATTAGAGATGCTAGGGCAACGTCCTTGGTCTAACAGACTCTTTGAATCTAACAGCAGTGCTTGCTGGTGATCAGAGACCAAGGAGGACTATGGAGAAACATCAGGCAGAGGGCACAGGGCAGCGAATCCTATTGCCGTGGGGTGCACGAGGTGACAGCAAACATCTACAGTGCATAGGTCACAAAGATGCAAAGGACACTATGTGGCTGTTGGGACAGAGTAGCACATGTTGGTGCCCAAAACAACTTGATGCATTAGTAAGCCCAGGCAAAATCTGTGGGACTCACTTATTTCTATGTAAAACTGGAAAAAGTAAAAAGATATATAAAAAAAAAGTGAAAGAATATACATGAAAAAAAAAAATAGGTCTTCAATCCTATCCCCATGCTCCTGAAGCTTAAGAATTGACTTCTTAGACTAAATTACAGATTTTAGATTCTGAATGTGAAGGGAAATTTCAAAGAATGGTCTCTCTTGTCTGATGGGACATCGTGTCTTCCCCATGTGGGAAGGGTCTGAGTTGGGGTATGTGCCACAGGCTGTGAGAGGAGGAATGCTGGGCTGATCCTGAATGTAAAACAACTCAATTCACCATACTCCAAGTCAAAAAAAGATTACTGCATTCCAAATTTCACCTACATTTGGGGGGCTGTATAATAAGAGGTGCTGCTGATTTAACCATGGAGTCTTTAAAAACGGTGTGAGAAATGTCATATTTGGAAGTTTCAAGTGTACTCATTTCAGACTTAGTCTATCAATCTGCTTAATAAATAATGAGAATCTACTCAATTTAGATTTCAAGCCAGGCATCACAGCTTTCAATTCTTCATCCCAAAGTCCTATTGAAAATAAGAATATCCAACAAACCCTTGGTGGTTTTTTTGCTGGTTTTCTTTTTTGCTTATCTGACCTGCAGAGCTCATCCAAAGCTTTACAGCAATTAGGTCATTTAGGAACACAGGCTTGGGAGGTTTCCTGGCTCATATGTAACCAGATCAATAAACCACATGCCCAATTCAATGGACACCAAGCTATTTGGAAACAAAGCAAGTCACAAGCCTTTCGGCAGGCACCCATTTTGCCTATCTGCAGCTGAGCAGACTTTCTACCTCAGCCATTTTCTGGAGGTAGCTGTGGTCAATTTTCTATTAGCTTTAATGTACCTCACCAGTGGACCAAATCTCTTATAGGTATTACTGGAAAATGAAAGTATAATTTTGTTTGAAATTAGTAAGACATGGAAGAGAATGTGTTTCTGGAGCTTCAAGTATGATTCATATAAAAAGCCTGAACATTATCCTCCGTATTGAACTCCATTTGTTCATTTCTGGAAATAATTTCTACCAGCCAGCACTGCATGAAGCGGAATGGCTCCATCCACCCTCACACACTGGAGGTCTCTTCCCAAAGGGGATTTTCCTTTTCTTTTTTCTGAGCTCTTTCCTACCTTCATCTCACAGGCGAGCATCAACATGCACGTCCTCAGGAGGCTAAAAAAACAGCACATGCCACAGCTGGGAATGAATACGATCCCTGTGGGAGAGAGCTGACTGCAGCTTGGAAAACACCAATAGGCAGCAGGAGCCAAAGTGCCTCCTTCACCCCAAGCCAGGGAAAGTCCCTCTCTGGCTCTACAGCCGGTGGACTGCCTTTCACCCAGCATGCGAGTGGGGCCAAAGAGTCTCACAACGCGGAGGGTCTGCTGATCTACTTCAAAGACCCATTTGAGGTACAGTCAGCTGAGGTCTACCATCATCTTTTCAGAAGGGGAAAGAAGAAATCCCCTGGAGCACAGCCAGACTGTTCACTCATCAGCATCGCTTCCCATAGACAACTATATGCTGTTTTTGTGTGGAAAGCAAGAGCTGGCACTGTACCAGAGGAAAGGGTCTTCTCTCAGTCTCCTTCTCTAACCTTTTCCTGCAGAAACCCCTACCATGTACTGCTCACACCTATCCAAGTGCCCCACAGCCCCAGAAGGAAGCAGACAGCAGGAAGCTCTCCTCTTCCACATCCCCTTGTCCCAAGGAGTGGTGCTGGGGACCTGTCCTCTTGCCCCACAGGAGCACCCGGTGCCACCAGCCTGCCCGTGGAGGTAACCTTGCACCTCGCCTTTCTGCTGCCGGCAGTAGGTGAGGTCCTGGGGCCACCTGGTGGTTCATTACGTGGATTGTTTGAATTCTTCTCTCCGTGCTGGGTGCTCCAGCAGCACCGTACCAGGCCGTATAGCACAATGCCTGCCAGTCCTTGGGAAAGCCAAGCTTCATTCACTCACTCAGCCCTTCCTATGCTCCGGCTTTCTCAGGGTTACCTGAGAGCTATCCAGATTCCCAGGGCTACATGTCCTCTGGCTGCCCTCTTCAGATGCTGAGACTTCAACACTTAAAACAACTGTTCTTTGATTGTTATTGTTTGTTGTTTTTTTTTTTCACCCAAACAGCCTGAAAATGAGAGGCTCTATTTGTGGCTGAGTTGACATAACATACAGATCCCACCTCAGCCATGAAGCCTTTCCTCCATATGCAGGGAAACAAAAATAGCAGGTTCTAGAGAACCTGGAATCCAGTCAGAATAAAAATGGCTTGGACATGAAGAGATGAGGGACAATTTCCCACGATCCTTCTCTTGCATGAAGAAACACCAGCCCACACACTTCTCCCAGGCCCTGGGAATAGCCCAGTGATTCATCAGCCAGATGACTCTTTTGGCTGGGAGCAGGTGATGGCTTCTAGCAGAAGGTGGCATTGCACCAAGAACCCCAAGCCTACTGCATGCAGAGGTCTCCCAGTCAGTGTTCCCCACTTTCCCTCCCACTTAAACCAAGCTTCTTCTCTTGCTACCCTCCTGTGCCAGAGCAACAGAGATGCAGACAGAGATACCCAGCACAGCTCCACTGCTACACACCCCACTAAACACAGTGTAAGCAAAGGATGCTGGTTACAAAAAATGAGACAGTCTGTAACTAGAGAGGAAAGACAAGAATTTAATGGAATGAATGGAGAGCTCCCAAAGTCCACACCAGAGCCACAACTTTGAGACCCTGGCACTCTCCACTCCACGATCAGTCCTTCTTCTCTGCCCACCAGAAGGCTGGGGGTGCTCTGAAACACCGGTGTTCGATCTGCCCCTTCAGAGCCCTCTTAGGGAGAAGATTAAGGTGCATTGCTAACTCCACGCAGACCATCTCCACAGCAGCTTCTCCCTCAACCCTTCAGATCTTCCAGGGAAGGGAATTCAACCCAGAAATCCCTCTCTCCTAGGTGAGTGAATCCTTGTGTTGTCCAACACATGGTAAAAGCTGCATATGAAACCATCTTGGGGGAGGGAGGGAGAGCCCCACTGGTCCTAGCAGTGAGATTCCAGCTCTGTCAGCATCAGGAGGCCAGATCTGGTGGAAGGAAGACGCTGTCCCGTGCTTGGCCTCGAAGGCAAGTCCTCTAGCGGACAGGTGAGTTGATGGAACCTCTGGAAGGCAAAAGAAGGCACTGAACATGGTCTCAAGGATGAAAGGTAACTTGGCCCCTCCCCTTCCAGTCATGGGTATCATTCAGTCATTCAGACCACCCCTTCCTGAGCATTTGCAGGAGCTAGAGAACAGGTGGGATCTGGAGTTTTCTTGGAGCAAGACCCCAAGCTGCTGTCAAGGGCAGCCTCCATGCTGAGCTGAAGTACGGGATATCATCTTTTTCCTCATCATCTAATGAGTTTATTCCTAACGGCGTTTGCAAAGAGACAGAAGCAATAAACAAAGGGCACCAAGAGGCAACCATCAGCTTGGGGCAGCCAGGCAGAACTCAACAAAACCAACAGTTCAGTTATAGCAATGAACTCATTCAATGGATTCATTCTAGGATCCCTACTAATCAACCTGCAACACACAAACAACTCTCTTGAAAGTCTGGACAGCAGTACAGCCCTTGCCCTGATCCCAGAGCTTCTGTCTCACCTCTTTGAGAGAACCTTTGATGGTGGAGAGCTTGTAGACGATCCAGAGAGGGATGCACACCATGGAGGAGAGGGCCAGCAGCCAGCCCAGCGTATCCCCCCACCACGGATATACATATTTCTTGTTGTATGTCAGTGGGGTGTATTTGATCAGAGAAAACAAGAAGGTTGCCTGACAGGGTGAAAGAAGCCAAGAGAAAAAGTACAAGAAAATCAACATTGTTAGTCAAAGTAGGTCTGGTTACTCCACACCTGCACAGAATTACGTGGTAAAAGAGAGGCTACATAGCCTCAACACATGTGCAGATCCCTCCTTAAATATGTGTCTATGTATCTCAGAGGCACCCAGCTCTGCCCATCTCTCACCAAGCAAACTGCCGGAGTGATGAAAAGCCAGCAGTATTTGATGATGGGCCACGGCCGGTAGCCAATCATATCTTCAATGTTGTCGTAGAAACGCTCAGCACCTGCAGGAGAGGGGAATGATGTCTCATTGCTGAGGGAACAAGGGCAGCAGGGTCTGTGTGTCTTGAGGAGATGGCAGGTGAGGGCCCTGCTTCCCCACCATCTGGGAGCTCCCCCGAAAATGAGTCAG